GTTCCGACTGCTTCCCAAATCGGGAACGAAAGCATACATCAGCTGACATACGATGCAAGATGGCATCGTGTAGGTCATTCTATCATGTCGGGCGCGTTGCCACGCTCATATCAGTCGCATTCTTCAGCGCCGCAGATGATTGTTAGCGCGCGCCGGCGCAAGAGCGGACGGAACAGGCCACCTCAGGGCGTCCAATACTCCTACATCCGTCTTCCATGTCCGACGCGAATGCTGTCAGAGAGACTGCCGCACGGTGAGCAAACCTATCGCTATGCTCGATCGACGCTGACTTCATGCTCTACTGCGACTCCCCACTAGTGCATCCGCATACGAATACGCTCAGCAGATGTTTCCGCTTGCATATGGCCACGCACTTTGGATGCCCTTCTTTGAAGGCGGTGAAGACGGCCAGTCCACACAGATCGGCACGATCGCGGCACTCGGTATGGAGGGATTGAGAGTGCTGGATTCGAGCTACTACGCGCCACCAGAGTGCGGCGACAGTTTACAGATTACTCGCGAAGAGATTTCGGATCAACAGGTGCTTTGGGGTGCAACTATCGCGGGCGATAGGGAAGCCAATTGTGTGAGGTACGTCGTACAGCCGCCTATACGCCGGTCTGGCGCGGGTTGACCATTCACTGCCACCCCCCCCTTTACACATTCAGTAGCTGCGGAGTCTGCCAGTACGATTTCACGCTGTTGAGCAACACCGGCGGTTTTCTGGTGACGTCATATGCGTTGCACGAATTCGTTCAGCCCGCTGCCAGGTCGTCCATGTTACCCTGCGCAGTGGAGCGTCTATTCAGGTATCGTGAAACTAGAGAGTCCGTTGCCGATGCCGGGGACGATTTGATTTTTATCACGGGTACCGTGAAGGCTTCCAGATATCGAGCCGCACACATCGTGGCGCGCACCCCAGGTGTGCAATTGCATGCGACCTTGACGGTGGCGTTGAGCGACTTTCACGAGTACGAGTGCGAGTACACGGAGAACCAACACAATACCCAGCAAGAAGGTGGCGCAAGTCCCACACGCGACCGCGAAGATTACGAAGACGAACGCGCAGACGGTCGGCGCGGCGAAGAACCCGAGCATGTAACTGCAAGCCGGCAAGACGAACTTGGGGCAGAGACTCCCGTCATCGAGCGTCGCAGTCATTACAACGCATTTCCGAGTACGTTCTCTGCTCTGGAGGGATTGCGTGGTGTACTAATGCTGTTTAGTAGCGTCGGAGTCAAGCTCAGTTTCTGCCCCTCATGAGACCCTCTTCATCCATTACTTCAAGATGAAGACCAGGCGATCATGTAGTGCCAAAGGCTCTCCCGCGCAACATCATGATCCTCCCCACATTCCGCTTCCATCCGCGCCACTCGAGGACTGCGCCGACGATGTATCGGATCCACGACCTTTCGACCCTGTTGGACTTCTGCTTGAATATATACTACAGGCACGTCTTCAGGTCCAGAATTTGATGTCGGTGAGGTCCGCTGACAGCCATACCTCATTCCTCATCTGTAGAGTGCAGAAGAGGCTACTGTGGCGGTCGCCTCGGATACGGACGTCCTTGCACTATTCTGGGTAAGTCGTCCTCGCATTCACACAATTGGCCTGATTCTGATGATGCTACTGTGTCTAAAACTAGCCGAAAAGGGTACCAGCAGACCTTCCGCATGACCTGACAAGCATGCTCGAGCGCCGTCGTCCGTGCATCGTCGTGGAGGACATTGCGGGTCACAAAGGTGCACATCTCCGCTGGGGTCTCGTTATGATTGCGTTTAGCTGAGTGAACAGTACAGTTGGCAGCTTTCTTTACGGCGAAGGCTTCGAGCGTATGGTGTTCGAAAGGATTGAGTGATCCAACGAGGGTCGGGGGCGGTAGGATCAACGGAATGGGTATATCTCGCCCACAACGCAGTTCGACGCTCCCTGAGCTGACCCTGTAGTCATCGTAGGAAATTAACTACGTAAGTAATCGATCAATGAAATTAATTCACGTTTAGGACTGACTCAAGCGCTCAAGTGCTTTAACGCAAGTCCTTTGTCGGCGTACAGGGCGTTCAGGGCAGAAGGCCGGTTGTATGACCGAGACGGTTAGGGTTAGGGTTCACGCCCAAATCTTTAAATAAGTACCTGGTCTGGGCGTCTGGGCCGTCGGGCTCTCCTTTCGTCCTGCCACACAGCTGCAGTGTGCTTGGCTCCTTCACCAGTTCTAGCAGCATCGCTCTCATGGCGACAACCCAGAACACCACGTATGGATTCTCGCGTCTCCCTGCCGAGCTCTGCGCTGGCGTCGTTAAAAGCTTGTCGAACGTCGACCAACGCCGCTGTCTTTCGGTCTCTAGGCTTTTTCGTGACCTTGCGCGCCCTCTCGTTTTTTCCCGCGTAATAATACGCGTCGGTATGTGGAAAGCGGAGGAAGATGACGGCATTTTTGACGACGATGTCGAGCTCATGGAACGACGCGTCCACCGGAACAAGGAGAAGCTGCAGTATATCGCGCGCGACGCTCAATTCGCGCGGATGGTCAAGGCGATTCACGTGTACGCCCACCGCGAGTGGGATTTCGCGGATATAGGAGAAGAGCCTCAGGACAACCTCGACATCGGTAAGTCATCTTCTGTAGATGTCGAATTGCGTGTACTGACCGTCTTTGACAGCACTCATGATCCGTGCGCTGGAAGCCCTTCCGCACCTCCAGTCATTCCGGTGGCACGGTATCTCAGATTTGAGCTGGTTTGTAGTCAACGGTCTATGGATAGATAGCTAACGAAGGTATCGGGAGCATCCATTGTGAGGTGCAACGTTGGAATTGATGACCCCCGGATGTCGAGTCGTATACGAACTGAGGGAGCGATCGTTTAACTTGTATGTTGTATTACTGTAGTTCCCACGGTTAGGAGGATGTACGCGACCTACGATTCCAAAAATACCACCCACTCACTCGTCTCTGGCACCGAAACGTCTGCCATGCACGGCAAAGTCAGACCTCCTACCAATCCTGATAGGCAACCTCGTGCTCGTCAACGTATACATTCCCCCGTGCTCATCGCCTTGGACGGCAGGTGACGACGGCGCCCCGGAACAACCTCTGAACGAGTGCCTAGCAGGACTCCTGGAGCACGCGGACGACATGGACTTATGCGTGATGGGAGATCTCAACGCCCGCACCGCCTCCGCGTCGTCGCATGAGAACGCCTACCCGCGAACCTCACCCGATCATGGTCCTATCTCTGTGCGAGGGCGTTGGCTACTACAAACCACCGAAGACACCGATCTCGTCATCCTCAACAGCACGCTACTACACCAAGCCTCCTCTCGGGACGCGTTCACCTCATACCAGGCGAACGGGATGGCCGTCGTGGACTACGTTCTGGCGCATAGGCTGATGCTGGAACGGGGGCACATCGTCAACATCAGCACATGTGCGCACTTGCCCGCGCTGTCAGATCATGCCGCGATCGTCACCAAATACACGCACCACACGCAGCTGCGAGGGGGCCCACAACTGCAGAGATCCACGGCTGCCGCAGTACCACCACCACCATCACTAGGTCCCCGAGGCCCGCTCGACGAACTTCTGGACGTAACCTTGCTGGCAGGAAAGGCGGATCATCCCTCGCGCATCCGTAGACTATATGGCGGCGTATGGGCAACTTCGGACCGGGTGGATGTCTGGACTGATGGCTCCGCAACGAAGAACTCTCGCAAAGCTGGTGCTGGCATCTTCTGGGGCCCTAACGCGACTCGGAACACTGCGGTTCGGGTACCCGGCGTACTGCAAACAAACAACCGCGCGGAACTCTTCGCAATCCTGGTTGCACTCAGAATGGCGGACCCGTTGAAGCACTTGGGTGTGCACTGTGATTCTACATACGCCATCCGCTCCATCTGCCACTGGGCCTTGAAGAACGCGGAACTCGAATGGACGTGCACTCACGCGGACCTCCTGCGGGCCATCGTGAATACCATCCGCGCTCGTGCAGCGCCGATCACCTTCTTCTGGGTAAAGGCGCATACGGGGAACTATCACAACGAGTGTGCGGACGCTCTTGCGAAGCGCGGGTGCGAGCTCCACCCGGCTGAGGACATAGTCGCGCTTCCCCCGCCCCCGCACTGGCCGCAGCGACCTGCAGACATCCCGGATATCCCCGACCTCTTGAAGGTCCACACCACTCTCCCGCGTGCTCCCACACACAGGTCCGCAACCACTTCACTCACGTCGCTCCAAGCCTCCGGTGCCAATCTCTCCGATGATGAGGACGACGGTGACGCGCGAGGACACGAGTCCGAGGCCCTGAACGCTCAGCGACAAGTTACGTACAAAACGCTTGCCGCTGCGAAACACGAAGGTCACTTCTGGAAAGCGTTCAAAACGATATCGTGCCCGCGAGGAACAACCTCCTTCGGCGTCGACGCCCTACAGCTACAACACGTCTTCGAACCCCGCATGAACCCCCAGCTGTGCGAGGGACGAGACGGAGACTTCACCACCCTCCGTGCGATGGATGACATCGTGGTGAAGAGTTGGCCTACCGAGACCACTGATGAGACCCCCTCCGCCTCCTTCTCACGGCCGTTCACAGTCGGTGACATCGCGTGTGTGAAAGCACGACTGACCGCCATGGAATGCGGGAAGGCAACCGGACCTGACCGGGTCAGCTACGAGGATATACTAAACATCCCCAATGAGGACCTGCGCACGCTATTCCAGGCACGTTCGACAATCCCGTGCTCTACAGCTAACACTGACAATGCCGCACTATAGGCTTGCATTGATACTAAGGCGAGCCCTCAGGACTGGCTGTCGACCACACTCGCGGCTGTTCAGAAGAAGGGCAAGGATGCGGCCGACGCTGCAGGGTACAGGAACATCGGCCTTGAAAGCTGCCTCCTGAAGACTCTCACCCTCCTGATCGACCGACGAATGCGAGAGTGGGCGGACGACGAAAATATCATCCCGCCACTGCAAAACGGTTTCCGCACAGGCTACCGTACCGAGAACAACATCTTCACCCTCCGCACCGTCATCGACCAGGCTAGAGCCCACAACGAGACCGTATGGGTCGCGTTCGTCGACCTCACCAACGCATTCCCTTCTGTGGACCAGAGCGTCCTCTGGGCGAAACTGCGCGCATGGGGAGCGGGAGGCCCCTTGTTCGATTGGATGCGCATGCTCTACGACCGCATGCAGTACATCGTGCGCTTTAACGGCGAGTACTCCGCGTACTTCCAGTCTCTGGCAGGCATCCTCATCGGAGATCCCGCGTCGCCCGTGCTCTGGAACCTCTTCTTTGCCGACTTCAAGTGCAAGCCCCACCCAGACGACGTCTTTCTCGGAGACACCTGGATCCCGTACCTAGCTCAGGCTGACGACATCCTACTACTTTCCCGCTCTCCTGAGGGCTTGCAGGCGAAACTGGATGCGCTCGCTCGATGGTGCTTGAGAAATGGTCTCGCCGTAAACGTTTCGAAGTCGCTCATCATGGCGTTCGGACCCCTGCCCACACGATGCCCACGCTTTCGACTAAACGACGGCTTCCTCCGCTTTGTCCAGAGCACAACATACGTCGGTGTGATCATCAACTCCACGAAACGAAACATCTTCGCCGATCACCGGGCCGCTCAAGCAAAGAAAGGTCGTCGAGTGGCGAACGCGTCCCTGTCCCTGGAGGCACACATCGGTCCGATGCCTCTCGACATTGCGCGTACCCTGTACGACGCTCTCATCGACCCCCATCTACTCTCCGCATCTGCCGTCGATCTGGACGTCAATCACGCAGAGTTATATGACCTAGAACTGGTGCAGCACACCTTCGCAAAGCGAGTGTCTCGCCTCCCGGCGCACTGTCAGCCCCTCCCCGCACTCCTAGACCTGGGCTCGTGGCCGCTGCGCTTCCGCCGTATCAAAATGGCGGTGAAGATGCTTGTTGCGCTGGTCGCCGAAGGCGCCCCGAGCGTCCCACGAGCTGCTCTCGCAGTCGCACACAACCTCGCGAGTCATGGACACCCGTCGTGGCTGAGCGACATGGCCTACACACTGAGGGCTCTACCAGTCTCTGTGACCCTCGATTTCCGTGCTACCCCGACACGTGCTACAGCCCTGCAAGCTCTAGAGGACATCCAGGACGCACTACGGACGTACGCTGTGCAGCTCCTCCACACATCTCCGAAACTCGCGGTCTGGAAATGGGCAATCCTGCCCGCCCTGGGGAACAATCCCACCCTGCTCGCGCTCCTGCGCACCCGTGCGTACCGCTCAGTCGCGCGCGTCTCACACCGTCGCGCCATCGCCCGCCTGCTCGCCGGTATCCCCCCCTATGCGATCGAACTCATGCGACGCCATAACGCGCCCCGCGAGTGGCGTGTGTGTCGCTTCTGCCGTGACCGACTGCTGCTAGAGGACGAACAACACGTGCTCTTCGACTGCCCGGACCCCACCCTGCGCACCGCGCGAGACGTCCTCTATGGTCACATCACTCGGCTGCACCCAGGCTCAGTCTTTGCAAGACGTCGTTTGTCAGATTGGCAATTCTTCGCAAAGGCCCTGCTCGACTGCGACGCGGCGCCACATGTCGCAGAATTCGTTCACGCAACCTTCACGCGGTGCGCCGAGGTCCCCCTACTTATCATTCGCTCAGAGGCGCAGTTGCTGGCCCTGCCAGACGATCTGGAGTCGGACTAGATTGTTCGGACTGAGTACTAGGGGTGGCCTCCAGAACATAACGCCTGCATGTACTACGGCAGCAACGCAATGCTAGCTTTTCCCATCATCTCGCAGTGGTCTTCACCGGACCGCCTCGCGACCTCTGTCTCGGAAAACACGGGTATCTACAGGATGTACCTCTGCGTGTCGTTATCCTGGGCTCAACCGACCGTGCTGAGTACGTGAAGAATCGCGTAGCTCTGCTTCTGCGCTGTTTTACCATGTCTGGTTTTGAGCGCAGACACGGAGTGGGGCCCCGCCCATAGCGAACCTAGAACGAAATCTGTGCACGAACGAGCTGACCATCGTCTTTGGGCCTGGAGGAGTGTTGTCGGGACGGGCGGCCCGGGGAGCTCGTCGCGGCCCCCGGGGTTTTTGCATATTTTTTCCCCCGGGTTTTACTCCAGGTAATGCCGGCCCTCACGGGTTTCACGGCGCCTGCTTGGGTGTGGGCCCTGGCACACACTTATAAGCCAAAGGACTCAAGAAGGTGGAAGGGGAGTGGATCACAGTAAGTAGTTCCTGGAGTCGCTCGGTCAAGGGATATCGCCAGGTTTTGGACATTTAAGTACTACTCGAGAGCTTGTGTAGAGTATACGTCTCGTTCGGGGCTGCCAGTGTGCGCGATTCAGATGGTGTTGTAATGCGTTCTCGTAGATTAAAGCGCCGACGAGAGCTGAGGATGTATACCTGCAGATGTTCAAATAATCACTCACTCACTCACTCACTCACTCACTCACCGGCGCTGACGCCCGCGGTATTGGATGCGCTAGCAAAAACGTGCGGACCCACGCTCATAGAACTGAGGGTTGCGTGCGTCGATTTCTTTGCACACCATTGGTCGAATGCTGACTTATTGCCAGGGCCATGCTAAACGACGGAGAAGCACCGCGGTACATTACTCAGTTCAAGAACCTCCAAGTTCTCTCGCTAGCGGGCGATATGTGCAATTTCCCTCACTACGGCAATCCGGAGCCGGAATCAATGGTCACGGCCTGCATTCAGCATGTACCTCTCACCGTCCTCCGTCTCTCCGTCTTGGCAGACTCGGTGTGGAACACCCCGCTTCCCGTTCTATCTGGGCTGCACGAGCTTTCCCTGCAACGACCGCAGAGCCTGGACAAACTTAGCATTGTCTTTCAGCACTGCTCGCAGCTGCGGACACTCAACGTCTTAATCGACAACGTGGCCTGCAAGCAACAATTCATCGCCGTCCTAGAGGCTGCGCCAGCTGCCCTTCCACACCTCACATCGTTCAAGTTCATTTCCTGCTCGCGCGAGGCGCCCAACATCAATCCAGACCTGCTCGCCGCGTTTCTCAAGAACAAGGCGATGCGACGACTCGACCTCAGGTTTTACAATCGATTGGAGGACGTCACCGACTACACGCGTTTTCTGGACATGGTCGCGAGCTTGCCGAAACTTGAGGTCGCAGGTCTCGTGCTCAGGGGCGAGAAGTTCACGCGCGAGCATCTGCAGCTGTTGGATGAACGTCTTCCGCTGGGGCTTTCCGCGCTGCTTTTAAACTGGCAATTCCGTTCTGCTGACGACACTATCCAGAAGGGAGATTGGATCGCCATGGTAAGTAAGCCTCATCCCACCTGCTGGTTGCCATTCCTTTCTGAGCTCATCTCCTCGATTTCTGCAGCTCAAGCGACGCCCGTCGCTGGCCTACTTTCACGTCCTGGACCCTGGGGACGGTCTTGACCTGTGCAAACTGCTGCTGAAGGACCACCCGCCGGCCCTCGAATTGGTCGGGTACGGCTCGTGCCTAAGCACTTTTCAGCGCGACCTCGCGACTGGTGAGGCCGCCTACGGACCGATGTGGGACGAGGAGACGACCGGTTTCCGGACGGTGGAGGACTTCGGGTGCGAAGACTGGGAATGGCTGCTGCGGAACCACGACTGGAACAGTCTGCGTACGTGCCGCGTTGATGTGCTTCGTGTATGTGCTAATCGACGTGGATGGACGGTAGATTCTTTGGAGCCGTATGATTACTTCAGGGAATGTTGGCGCCACATCCACTGCTGAGTGCCGGTGGGGGCGACGTGGTTGCGCGGGTGGGTTGGAGAGCATGCAGTGGCGGGAGGGATATGGGAGGAAGTCTGTGAGGTATGCCAACGCACTGCTCAGCTACAACGTCGCAGAGCTGTCCGTCTACAGCGCAGTGCTTTGAGGCTAGTCTAAAGCACATAGTAATCGAATGTATACATTACCAGTTGTCACTTACTATCGTGAAGCTCGGAATTCGGGCCGTTCGTGCTTATACGAAATCGTCAGCGCTTCGCGAACACGCTGCGGCTTGCCTCTTGCTATCATGTCCGATCGCGAGCCTTTCATAGGCGACTACTTTCGCTTGCAATTGCCTCCAGAGCTCTGGGGCCTCGTCATGGATTATCTGCCGAGGGCGGACCAACGCAGCTGTCTCTCTGTCTCGGCAGCGTTTCATGACCTGGCGTGTCCCCTCGTCTTCTCTCGCATCGTTATTCATTACGGACTTTGTAGTGCGCAGGGGCCTGAGCCACCTGGACCCTGCCTTGCGAAATCCGATCTTCGACTCTTGGAATGGCGGATAATCACAGCGAAAGAGATACTACAACGCATCGCGCGCGACGTACAGTTCGCGCGATCGGTCAAGGCGATAACCGTCCTCGCATACCAGATGGGCAGCAATGCGGGAGAGAGCGACTCGGACTTCGAAAGTAGGCTTCTTATCACTTTTGACTAGTCGATGGCATCCGACTCTGACCACATCGTGAAAGCACACATGGTCATCGCGCTGGAATCGCTTCCGCGCCTTCGTGTCTTTCAATGGTACGGCTTCAGGCCGCCGCTCTCGACCTCGGTCCTCGGTGCTCTGGCGAGGGCCGCCGGATCAAGGCTAATCAAGCTAGATATCTGGTTTGCTTCTCTTCATCCCTGTTTACACAATGTATCACCTACTAATGCATTTCAGTGGCGTACTTGGCATAAACCAGGATGCATCGCCGTACGTGGCGCAGTTCAAGGCCCTCAGAACACTATCGTTAACAGGCGATGTCATTCATTTCCCCATTTCCCGAGGAAGCAAGGAAGACTTCCGAATCATGTTTGCACGCTGCGCTCAACATGTCCCTTCCACTCTCCTTCACCTCTCTATATGGCGAGAGGGGATATGGGCTATTCCGCTTCCCGTCCTCTCCGGGCTGCAAGAGCTATCCATGCTGGATCCAACCAACCTGGATAGGCTCGGCGACATCTTTGGGCACTGCGCTCAGCTACGGTCTCTGGCAATAGCATGCATCGGCGCTGACTGTGGCCTAGAAGTGCTCGCCGCGCTGCAGGCGGCGCCAAACGCCCTTCCGTACCTCACCTCATTCAAACTTGTCCTATCGCGCGAGGCGTACATCCCCGATGCGGGCCCGTTCATCGAGTTTTTCAAGAACAAAGAGGGGATGCGGCGGCTCGACCTCCAGTTCAACCGACTTTACCCTTTTGGGGACGTAGACGAGTACAGCCGCTTCCTCGACATCTTCGCCCAGCTTCCACAGCTCCAGGTCGTGGGGCTGGACCTCACAGGTCCGGCCCTCCGCCTCGAGCATTTGGAGCTACTTGACGAGCGACTCCCACTTGGCCTCTCGGCGCTCCTCCTCAAATGGTCGACCTACACCTCCATCGCTTCCGGCATCGATACACAGGACTGGATTGACATGGTGTGTGATGGTCCCCTTCTCACCTCCTGCCTCGCTGACCACCCCCTTGTTGTGCGTAGCTTAAACGGCGCCCTTCCCTGGGCTACTTGCACACGCTCTACACCGAAAATGATATATCCCTGGGCACTGTGCTGGACCTGGGCGAACCGCTTCTCATGGACCGCCCGCCTGCATTGCGGCTCTTTGGGTATGGCGCGCAGATATGCAGCATCGAGTGCGACCCTGCGACCGGCGAGTCGATGTACGGACCGCCCTGGTCGGATGCGGCGGTCAGTGTAGGGGCGGTGGAGGACTTCGGCTGCGAAGACTGGGCGTGGCTGATTAGGTATCACACGCTCTTCGTGCGGCCAGGGTGACGCTGCGCGTGCGCGCGACGCAAGCCGCCCTGTATCTGAGGATGGACGCCATTTTGGCTTCGTCCTTGCGTGGATAGTGCGCAGAAGGACTGTTTGTTTTGATGAAATATGGACTGTGTTGCTTGTTGTATGACGTGAACTACACCATCTGGCTACGTAGCCTACCATACGGTAGAATGTAATTCTTAGTACTATCATGTACACGGGTGGCCGAGCCGTTGCCCTAGGGAGGCTAATTCCTGTCCGACATTTCAACGTCGCGATCATCCGTTCTCATATGGGTGTTCGGCCCGATTGACCTTCTTCGTTCTTACTTACGCCGCATCAGCGAAACCGCAGGACGCTCGCGAGCATTGACACTCAGGAGCGCTTGGGAGCGCTCCCAAATGGCCGCGACTGGCCGTGCGTGATGCGCAGCCGCTTCACAAACACGCTGCTTCATGTCACCATGTCCGCACGCGAGCCCATGACTTACGACTATTCCCTTCTACCTCCAGAGCTCTGGGGCCTCGTCCTGCAATGCCTGTCGAGGACGGACCAGCGGAGCTGCCTCTCGGTCTGTCCGTTGTTCCGAGATCTCTCACGGGCGCTGCTCTTTTCCCGCGTGGTCATCCGCTTCGGGATGTGGAAGGCGCACGAGAGGGATGTCGGGTGGGTGATTACCGATCTGGACCTCATGAGACGGCGGGGCGACGTGAATACAGAGATATTGCAACACATCGCGCGCGACACGCAGTTCGCGCGACTGGTTAGGACGGTTTCCGTCCGCGCCTACGATGCGATGGAGTGGAGTGACGAGGATGACATCCGTACGCATTCCTGGCGGTCTTTGACTGGGCTTGGGATAACGCTGACAATCCCGTGGTAGAGAACATCATCAGCGCGCTGAAAGCGATGGTAAACCTCCAATCATTCCAGTGGTACGGCTCTCGACCGCCCCTCCCGTCCACGGTCTTGGACGCTTTGGCACAGACTTGCGGATCGACGGTGCTCGAACTAGATGTATTGTGGGTGTTCTACATTCGCAATAGTTCGTGTTAGTCCACTGAAGGCCGCTCCAGTGGCGTACTCGCGTCAGATGAGGACGCGTCGCGGTACATGGCGCAGTTCCGAAATCTGCAAACACTCTCGTTAGCAGGAAACCTCCGTCACTTGCCTATATACACCCGATCCGACCCGGGTGCGATGCTCAAGACCTGCATAAAGAATGCCCCGGATACAATCCGATCTCTTTCCATGTGGGGACACTCGGTATGGGCCACGCCGCTGCACGTACTCTCCGGGCTGCACACACTGTGCCTGATCGCCCCAGGAGGCCTCGACGGCATCGGCACCATCTTCGCGCTTTGCGCGCAGCTGCGCACACTCGACATCGTCACCGACAGCACGGAATGCGCGCCGCAAATGCGAGCCGCGCTCGAGGCAGCCCCCACGGACGCGCTGCCGCACCTGACGTCGTTCAGGTTTGTCTCTCGGGGCCCGGAAATAGTCATTGTCGACTTGGGCCCGTTCGCTGCTTTCCTCCGGGGAAGGCGCGAGATGCGGCGGCTCGACCTTGGGTTCCACGCACCGTTCGAGGGACTGGACGACTACGCGCGGTTGCTCGACATCATCGCGGGGCTCCCGCAGCTCGAGGTCGTCGGACTGGTGCTCTTGGGCATGGATGCCTTTACGCAGGAGCATTTAAGGCTGCTCGACGCGAGCCTCCCGCGCGGTATGTCGGCGCTGCTCTTGTCGTGGGCGTTCGAGGTGGACGGTGCAGTGCTTACGCGTGACTGGGCGGCCATGGTGTGTAACAAAGCCAGGGCAGTCGGGTTCAGTTTCTTTTATCGCTGACCTTACCCGCCCGCTATGTGCAGCTCAGAAGACGCCCTTCGCTGGGCTACGTCCACATCCTGGATTATGGGGGTCCCTTAGACTTGCGCGACGCGTTGCTACAGGATCCTCCGCAGGCACTCAAACTCGTCGGGTACGGAAACCAAGTTTGCAATGTCGAACGCGACTGGGTGACTGGGGGCTCGGCGTATGGACCGCGCTGGGGGGAGGAGGCGATCGGTTTCGCGACCGAAGTAGAGTTTGGGTGTGCGGACTGGGCGTGGCTGTTACGACTTGCAAACTGGTACGGGCGCGCGCTGCGTGTGTGGTGATGCACTGTTCTACATTCGCGGGCGACATGAGAGGAAGGGGCTTGCGCGGTCATTGTGCCCTTTGAATGAATTAGCATGAAGCCAGTTAATAGTGATTAGGGGAACACACCGCGCCGCCGACGGACCTCTGTTCTTGTCAGCTTCATTGGTCGTCCGAGCCTGTCAGACACTCTTCGTCTTCTCCGCGGTCGCCTACCCTCTTGGGAGGCGAGCTCACTGCGCCATCAGCGCTCAGCACTGGTCCGACGCCGCGTGTGCTTCTGACAACGACTTCACGAAACAAATGTTACCGGGTATGTGTGTGACGTTGAGCGCTATTAGCAGCTTATCTCTCCAGGCCTTGGTATAGCGGTAGCAGTCGCACCGAAGTTATTCGGAGGACTGACCTTCGACATGATACTATGGCCAACCGACGCATCATGATACTATATAGGTATCGTCGTCGTATAATGGACACTGCCACGAGAAAGGCACCGGGGGAGCGGTGACTAGCGGCTACTTGAATTTGATTTGACCGGTTATCTGACCGCTTCTGGTTGATACCGTCGAGCCGGGTCATGTACAATTGCGCACTTGTCGAGAACTATTTGTCGCGGGGTCGCTGCCAGGCTGGCGGGAGGAGTACGTCGTGGTCGCCATAGAAAGAGGGGGAGGGTGCAGCTATCAGTGGAGCGGCCTCTTCTGGGGCGATCCGGTCTTGGCGGGGAGGGCCACGTGGGAGAGTGGAAGAAGGAATAACTGCAAGGGGACAGGGCGGGGGACTTGCCGAGCAGCCTAGAGCGGAACTCTCCCGCGCCCATCTTCTGCTTCTCCACCTCTTCTCCCCGCCTTCCTCCTCGTCCCCGCCCCCGCCCTCGTCGTCACCCGACCCCGCCACGTCCGCGCGACGTCCTCCGCGGCCCTTCGCTCTGCATGTCCTTCAGGATGGCCAAGTCCCCGCTCTTCTTCGGCCAGCGGCACCCGCGATACACCCTTGCGCTCGCGGCTCTCGTCATTGGCACATACTGGCTCTTCTTTAGCTCACCCAACCCGCCCACTCCTGTCATTTACAAGAACAACCATGAACTGCAGACGCGCCTGGAGAGGGAGGAGCGCAAATACCGCGCCATGCTGCCCCAACGCCAGGAGCTCATCTCAAAATTCGGGCCGACGCCATCTCAGCTCGTCATGTACGTCGCGCGCGTGCGCCATGTCGCGTAGGCTTCGGACCCTGACACTTTTCTCGCGCGCAGGTTCCCGCCAGACCAAGACCCCTGGCCGCCGTACACCGTCTGTCAGTTTGCACATACCTGTGTTTCCCGCGCTTGCCCCTGACACGTCTGCCGCAGGGGACTTTTTCCCGCCGATATTCAACTGTCCGCACGAGCTCGACCGGTTAGGTGCCCTTGGAGATGGTGGAAAGTGGATGTGCGGCCTCTCGCGGATAGAGGACAAGCCAAACTGTGTGATATACTCCTTCGGTGCGTCGCCTCGTCCGGCTTCCTTATGCTCTCCCGCCCCCTTTACGGCACTTCCCTTCGCTTCTTCGATGCATCGTCGTCTTTGTTTTGAGATCTTCTGCAAGAGTCATCGCCCCTCCCAGTCGCGCATTGTAGGACTCGATCTTCAGTGCGTAGTGCTGGCCATCCCGCGCTCGCTTGCCACATCGCTTGCATCCATATGAGCGCTTGGAAAGGCGGCGCGACTACCTCAGTATCGTAAGGTGCACTGCGATTTACGCTGAGTCTGGACAGAAAACCCTATCATGCCTTCGAACAGCTGCCGTCATCTCATTTAGTATCGCCGTTCTCACCCGCATCTGTCACATCATGCAAATGCAACCGCCGACGTTACCTTGACTTTGTACTGACATATATCGGCAGGTGTGGACTCGTCGTACTCGCTCGAGGCGACACTCCTCCAATCAACCCGCTTCTGCGAAGTGTGGATATACGACTCGACCAAGGGCGACTCCGCAAAGTCGCAGATCCCCCGCTCGCTGCGGCACCGCGCGCACTTTGCGAAAGTCGCGCTCGGCGCCTCCGACCGGCATGGCGCGAGCGACGATCCGAAGACGTGGACGCTCAAGAGCCTCATGTCCGAGAATGGTGCGTTTCCCCATCCCCCGGCGTTTCAGGTTTTTCCAAATGCTGACAATGCACGCGCGCGCCGCAGGCCACTCGCACATTGATTTCTTGCGGATGGACGTCGAGGGCTGGGAGTGGGAGACGTTCCGGGGCATCATCCGCGACTTCACGCTCGAGCGCATGACGCCACCACAGGGCGCCGGCGCCGGCGGCGTGGACGGCGATGCACCTGCCGCGGCTGCAGGCCAGTGGGCTGTGCATGAGCGCGAGGGCGTGCTCCCGTTCGGCCAGCTGCAGATCGAGCTGCACGTCTGGAACCAGCGCTTCCAGGACTTCCTCGAGTGGTGGCAGCTGCTCGAGGCGTCTGGGCTCAGGCCGTTCCATAACGAGGTATGGTCCGCTTCGGCGTTTCGGTGGGTTGGGCGTTTTGGCTCATGCGTGGTTACAGATCAACCTCGTCTACGCGAATTACAACAGGCACAGCGGCGTCGAGCTCGCAGAGGTGCGTGAGGATGTTACTTCCGGAAGAGCAGGGACGCTGACGTCCGTGCGCTGCGTCAGTACTCGTTCTTGAACGTGCGGGGGGACAACGCGTTCGTCAAGGACTACGTGCCCGAGACGCCGGAACTGGACCACCGCGAGCACGAGCACGCAGCGCCCAACGCATAGCGTGCATCTCGCCTCCGGTGGCCGCGCTCCCCACCCTCGCAGCACGGACATGTGCCCGAGTAAGCGGCCCCGTGCACGAAGGTCCGAGGAGCGCCGCAGAGGAGTGGCGTAGCAGAGTGGCAGGAGGGAGGAAGAGAGTATGCACCGACGCCCCCGCGGCCACCATGATACCACGACTGCCGCACGCACATCGATACGGGAGGCGCACAATATTGGCACTGGCAGGATATACGTGTAGGGCAGCGGGCCGGGGGGCGTCTGACGAACTAGTTATATGCATGTCTCTAATACTACGTAGATAGATAGATACCTCCGACGGCCGCCGCTGCTGCCTGTATTAATGTTGGCTTGCAATTGCTTCAGGCTGCGTCGGGTCGCGAGACCGGTGGTGCGGAGAGAGAAAGCTGTGAGTGAGTGGGCTTGTAGTTCGTAGGTGAAGAGTATGTGTTGGACAGTCACCGGGTGTGCTGATCATGAGCATCGGGGCAAATGTACTTTCAAGTTCGTACGCTGGACTTCACCTCTCAGACTGACGGACGGACGGACGGACGGATGGAGAGCGAGCGAGTGCATGTATATATCAGACATCGAATCTGCACGCATTATCCGCGAGAAGCTGCTACGTGGCTGGAAGTGACTGTAGCCATGTCATAGTCCGGTCAGAAATTCATCAAGCCCAGAAGCGGACCAGCCCGTCCCATTTGTGGTACCGCACCAGCCACTCCCAATCATCGCACCCAAAGTCCTCCGCAGTCCCGAAGCCGAGCGCCTCCTCCGTCCAGGGCGTCCCGTAGAATGACGCACCGGTCGCTGGGTCGCGCTCGATACTGCACAAGCAGCCTCCGTAGCCAACGAGTTCCAGGGAGCGCGGGCGATCCCGCAGCAGCGCGTCGCGCAGATCGAGAGTGCCCGCGTTGTCCAAGACGTGGAAGTAGCCCAGCGACTGGCGTCTCTTGAGCTGATAGGGTGCCAATGGGGGCACGGTCAAAGAGAGATCGGGCGAGGGGGCTTTGGGACGCACCATGGCGATCCAGTCGCGTTCCGCTACGGTGTTTGAGCCATAATCTGGATCGAATGCCCATGCCAAGAGCAGAGCGGAGAGGTGAAGGGGAAGCCGTGCGTCGAGAAGTTGAAGATGCTCGTGCGTGAAGTCTGCGCATTCTAGCCTGAGTCCGATGACCTCTAGCCGGGGCAAGCCCGCGATTATGTCGAGGAAGTACGCGAGCTCGTCCACGTCCTCGAAAAGGAGTTCGAACCTAAGGTCGAGCCGCCGCATCATCGGCTTGTTTTTGAAGAATGTAGTGAGCGTGAGAGGTACGAAGTCAAATACATCGTTGTCGCAAAGGAGCTTGAACGAAGTTAGATGCGGGAGGGAGTCTGGCGCGGCCTCCAGGGCAGCGAGTAGTTCATCACTGCAGTCCCAGTTGTCGATACGGAGGTTGAGTGTCTGCAGCTGCGAGCAGTGCTGAAGGATGACGCTGAAGTCCTCGAGGCTCGCCGGATTGTGCAAGGAGAGCTCGTGCAGACCAGAGAACACGTGTTGCGGGGCGTGCCATAATGAGTCCCCCGGCAATGTGAGGTAGCGGAGAGTGGGGTGCACATGCGGGACGTAATCCTTGAGCATCAACCGGGCGGTTGGCTGAGCGTAATCGTCGAGGTTAGAATTTCCTGCTACCAAGAGCGTTTGTAGGCTCTTGAACTGAGCGAGATATTGCGAGGCATTCCCATCGAAGCTGAGTATACCACTACTTCGGTGTTAGTGGCTTCGCGTGCAGTATAGTTGTGGAGAAACTGCACCAGATGCTGATCTCTTTGAGCGTGGATGCATAACTTGTCTCCGCTAGAGCTTGTAGCACCGAAGTCGGGATCGGTGGATATGAGCCGTACCACTGAAAGGACTGAAGATGCGGAATTGATTTCAGCGCGACAATGATTCTTTCTGTCACAAGATGGTGAGCTCTGACCTAAACCGAGATCTGAAATGAGGCGGAAGGCGTACTAATTGCGGATGCCGACTCGCTGGCACTCCATTGGAATCCCGAATCGAAGGTTTGGGCGCGGACGGAGAACTTCTTGATTAACCGCGCGAACCGAGGGTAGCGTGCAATCCGTTGCAGGGTTATTGCATTGACAAGTTTTCTCCGTTTAGTGAGTCGGAACTCGGATTCTACGTGATACTGTCTTATTGTCCACATCCCGAAGTGGATGGTTATGTGGGAGAAAATGAGACGGCGCGCCAGAACATAAAGTGATGTCGACACCGAGAGACAGCTCCGCTGGTCTTTCTTCGACAAGTAACTGAGAATGAGGCCCCAGAGCTCTGGAGGCAAGAGTGCGCGGCCGCAGGACATGGGCTCGTGTTCGGACATGATGGTAAGAGGCAGGCCGTAGCGTGCTCGTGAAGCGCTGGCGGGTTACGAACGACATCGGTCCAGATCGGTCCGAGCTCCGATAATAGCATTTCGTATATACCTATGGCAAGTTACATGTACGCGATGATTTAATGCACACTGTGCAGAGCGAACTTATCCAGCTCACTAGCAACATTCGAAGTAGTAATAAGTAGTAAGAGAGGAACGGCTCCGTCTAGCGTCCGGTCGCATCCGAACAACTGTGCAGAACAGAGGATCCCTTAAGCTTGACAGTACAACGCGTACGCAGTCTGCTTCAGTCGATGTGTCCACGCAGCAGCCACTCCCAGTCCTCGTACTCAAAGTCCGCCGCGGTCCGGAAGGCGATTGTCGTGTCGTCCCAAGGGGGGCCATAGAAGGCGTCGTCGGTCGGAGAGTCGCGTTGGATCCAGTTCAAACGCGTGCCGTACCCGACGAGCTGGAGAGCCGGTAAGCGGTCCTCGAGCAGCCTGTCGCGCAGGTCCAAATTGCCCGTGCGATCGAAGATGTGAAAATACCCCAGCAAGGGGCGCTTCTTGAGCTAGACAGAGCGAGGAGCGCAGTTAGATGGCTGAGGGCGGTATCGACTGCCAGTACTAGCACGCACCGTGGTGATCCAGCCGTGCTCGAGTACATCGTCGTCCAGCGAACGAAATTTCCATGTCAAGAGGAGCGCGGAGAGTCTAGGCGGAAGCCGTTCGTCGAGCAGCATCATATGCTCGCGCGTAAAAATCCTGCCTAGCAGCAAGAGTCCTACGACCTCGAGCTGCGGCAGGTCGACGAAGATGTCGAGGAATCGCGTGTATTCGTCCAAGTCCTCAGGCGCGACATCGAATTTAAGGTCGAGCCGCCGCATCGCCTTTTTACTCCGAATGAACGCGAAGACCGGTGCGAAGTCGCTGATGAACGCGTCACCGAGGTAGAGGAGCTTGAACGACGTGAGATGCGGGAGGGCGTCCGGTGCGGCCTTCAATGCCGTGCACACTTGTGGCCCGCTGAGCAGGCCGCTGGTCACGACATCGAGCGTCCGCAGCTGCGAGCAGTGCTCCAGCACGACGCTGAAATTCTCTAGGGTTGGCGGCTTGTGCAAAGAGAGCTCGTGCAGCCCGGGGAACACGTCCAATGGACGGTCCCATATCACATATCCCGTCACCGAGAGACTGAGGATTGTGCTTGGTACGGCATCGATGCACGCGATCATCTTTGGCCCAACGTCGTCGGGGTACTCGCGGGGTACGCCCTCAAAGAAGAGTGTTTGGAGGCTGGTAAATTTCAGAAAGAACACATCTTCGCCCCAATCAGATGTAATGCTGCCATGAGGGTGTCAGCGATCAGCAGCCGGCGGTGTAGCTTAGGTTGACCTACGTAGTGATCAGTTCTGTGAGCGATAGGCCACACGTTCTGGCTAGCGCATCGAAGACCTGGGTCGCTGGGGACCAGGATCTCATCGTTGCAGGGATGCCGTACCAACGGAACGACCGAAGGTGTGGGAGTGACTGCAGGACGCGGATAACAGCGACTTCCTCGGCTTCGTTAGAATGTACGCGAATAAGACACATTTGACGATGGATAGCTTACAGATATCCTCCTCGCTCCATCCTATGTTGTGAGCATGGACGGTCATCCCCTTGATGATTTGCGCGAATCGAGTGCTGCTTTCGATGTGATGGAATAGCTCGGTATTCCTGATGATGCGGCGTTTTATGGACTGGACGTCGGTCGTGATATGGCTTTCTTCTGCGTCCGGCGCCTTCCATATTCCGATGTGAACGGTGATGTGAGCAAAGACCAGTGGATGCACCAGATCATGGAACCATCTCGAGACAGATAGACATTGCCGTTGGGCGTCGGCCGGGAGGCGTGTCACGACGAAGCCCCAAAGCTCTGGAGGTATCCGCGGCCTGTCGAAACAATTGTATCCGTCGCTGCCTGGGGTCTCGAGCATGGCTGCGAAGAACAAGACCTGTTTGAAGGAAGTGTGTAGATGTACTAGGTACGTGGTACAAGGGAAAGGGCCGCTCCGACTCGGAGATATCCGATAGGGCGTCCATGCAATAACCCTAACCTACTGACAGATACTGTAGGGTGCCTTTGAAGTCGAGACCGAAACACCGAATGCAACTTGAAGGGAATCAATGTAAAGAGGCGAAGTCGTGCTATATTCACTTCTCTGAGTGGCCACGGATTCAGAACTACTAGCCTGCGGTCGCAATCAGTCAACATTGCGGGTTAGAGAGTAATATGTTAACGCGGTACGTACGTAGCCGCTAGTATGAGTACAAGTGGCTCCGCACCAGCCACTCCCAGTCTTCCGAGTAACCAAAGTCCTCTGCAGTCCGAAAGGCGACAGTAGTGTCCTTCCAAGGGGTGCCGTAGGCAGCCTCGTCGATCGGAGAGTCGCGCTGGATCCAGTCCAAGCGCGTGCCGTATCCGACGAGCTGGAGAGCCGGCGGATGTTCCTTGAGCAGCGCGTCGCGCAGGTCTAGCAGCGTCGGTGTGATGTCCATGACGTGAAGATACCCCAGCAAATGACGCTTTTTGAGCTTGAACAGGACGGAGAACGTGGTTAGCGTACGCAGGGTGTGAAGAGTCGGCCGTATCACTCACCATCGCCGTCCAGTTGCGCATAGGTACGTCGCCGTCCGGGAAGTCCAAGACCAGGAGAAGCGCGGAAAGGCGGAGCGGAAGCCGCTCGTCAAGAAGCCGTAGATGCTCTTGCGTGAAGAATTTCCCTCGCAGTCGCAGTCCAACGATTTCGAGCTGCGGAAGGCACGCGAAGACGTCCAGGAAGTGCGTGTAATCGTCGATGCCTATGAATGACGCGCTGACTTCAAGGTCAAGCCGCCGCAAGTCCTTCTTGTCTCGTATAAACGCGGTGAGTAGGCTCTGGCTTTGGTTGAACACATTGTTGTCGCCGCAGACGAACCTGAACGACGTGAGATGTGGGAGAGAGTCGGGCGCTAGGTGGGACACCGTCCAGTGGAGTTGCGCCTCGCAAAACGAGCTATTGGTGAAGATGTTGAGTGTCCGCAGTTGCAAACAGTGCTCCAGGACGATAACAAATTCGCTGAGGCGTAGTGGATCATACAAGGAGAGCTCGTGCAGCCTGGAGAATACGCGTAGGGGTGTGTCCCATACCGCACATTCGGATACAGAGAGGTGGAGAAGCGTGTTTGGCGCGTTCCTGATCCACGTCCTGAGCTCTACTTCCGCGTCTTGCGAGACGTTCAGGTGATTGCCCTCCAAAGAGAGTACTTGGAGGCTCTTGAACTTGGATGACAATGTGTCGTCCCCCAGATCGACTGTGGTACTTTAAAGGCGTCAGTGACTAGCAAACCGCTCAGCTTGATGATGACGCACGTAGTGAGAAGCTCTGTGAGTGTCGCTCCACACGTTCCGGCCAGAGCATCAAGCACTGTGGTAGTCACGCTCGGGGTGCAACCATACAATCGGAACGACCATATGTGTGGGAGCGACTTGACCGCGCTGATCAAGCCATCTTCAAGCTCCTGATCAGAATTCACGCAAGTAGGAAACGTTCGGGTAGTGTAGTGGCGTACCGATGTCCAACTTGCATCCTTCGTTGTGGCGGTGGACGCGGACGGTCATCCGCTCGACGATCAGCGCAAATTGAGTGTCGTCCGCGATGCGTCGGAGGATCTCGGTATTCCTGAGCTTGCGCCGTTGCATGAGCTGGATGTTGGCCGCACGGTGGTCCTCGTCTACACCTGCCTGCAACGTTGGAATCCCAGCATGGATGGAGATGTGGGTAAAGACGAGTGGGCGCGCTAGATAGTGTAATAAGCGAGAGAGGGCAAAACAGCTGCGTACGTCGGCGGCCGGGAGTTCTTTCAAGACAAGATCCCAGAGTTCCGCGGGCATGCCAGAGCGGTCGTGTCCGATCTTTCGGATCTCCGTCATTGTGGAGAACAAGACCTGCGCGAAGAGAGTGCCACGTAGCAGTCAGCACTACGTCGTGGTGACGGGAAGAAGGGAAAGCGCAGCTTCGCTTCGGTATTAGGCGTGTACGTACGCAAGAACCTTAACCTATGACACGTTCGCATTGTGCTATTGAGGCGGACGTAGCTCCGAGTAGATATTCACCGAAAGGTGGCAGATGGTCAAGCTGTAGTAAGCACTAAGAACGTACGTTGATAAGGTGAGAGAAGGACTTGAGGTACTAAGAAGGCGCCTGTCGCATTCATGATGCATGAACGTGAACCCTAATCCTGCATACTTCAGTAACTGTGTGGGCAGCGGCATCGTCAGTACGCCCGCGAACACTGTGGGGAAACACGTATAGTCCGACAGATCGTCCATATTTACGAGGTGATTGTAATGACCATATACTTAGAAAATCGTACTCAAGTTTCAAACTGCCATAGCATCTAGTTGGGGATTGTTAAATCGACCCTGGCCTGAAAGCAGTCGGAACCGCAATGCCTCAGCTCGACTACGGTCAGCATATGCAGGCTGGTTCTACGTGACCATTCTCCTACGGCCCACTCGCTCACTGTCGAAATGTAGAAATCACGCGCATACTGAAAGTTCAGAAGCCGAAGAGTCAGATTACGCTATCGCTGCGAAGAAGACAAGGACGTGGGGCGTACCGCAAAGAACGCTTCGTATGCCCTGGCGATCTTGGCATGAAGAGCGAGGCGCGTCTCCCACCGCTTATTGTCGGGCGTGCGTAGCGAGACCTTCTCGACATGGTCGGGATAACCGGGCCACTGCGCGAAATGATCAGCTAGACTCGGTGGCCCCGGCGGATGTCATGGACTGACCTTGATGAGCAGCCGGATGCTTTGGAGGCCGTTCATGGCCTCGACGAGTTCGTTGATATCGGGATGAAGCATGGCCATCGGCCGCGGGTCGTGTATCCCGTCGTTTGAGTTGTACATGCTCGCGAGCATACGCGGGTTGCGCATCTGGAAGGAGATGGGGGCGAGTTTGGGAAGGCTGGGAATCGAGCTGAAGCACGGAGTCTGAGGAACAGGCACTCTGAGAGGTTCCCTGGCGTGGGGCGTGTCGCCAGACCAGGTATTCATGATGAGCGGTGACATAGAGTGTGGAGGATACGGGACGAAATTTCGAGGGGCACAGATGTGGTTCGCGTAACAGTGGGTCATAGCAAGCCGTATCTTATAGCACCGCATAGTAGACAAAAAGGGTGCGAGCCACACAAGCAGTTCGGGAGCGGCGGCGAGGGTCCAAGCACTAGGTCAAAGCACAGAGACAGCGTGTAGAAGACCAAGCGCGAGGAGCGCTCAGCAACTTGCAGGTGAGACAACAACTTGTACGCGCGAGCCGCTACAGTGCATAGACCGGTGAGGTGAGTCTTGACGCTAACCACGCGCCGGGAGGCGCGGGTGTAGTCCGGTTAGGTTGGTCGGCGTGAGTGGCACATTCCATTCGTGCAGTGTTAGCAGCGCCCGGATGTTCTGAATTTGTCGGCGTCATTATCCAATGTTCAGATGAGGGAGTTGGTGAAAACTGACCGATTTAAAGTGCTATGCGCCCACACAGCGGATGCTCGCACGATTGGGAGGTGATCGGCGCCGTGTTATAGGTGTAAGCTATATTGCCACGGCAAGCTCTCGATGATGAACGGGACCTAACCGTTGCTACTGTATTCTAGCCAAAGACGTCAGTTAGAAACGCCATGTTTAACTGGACGGTAGTCGCGGACTCGTAACCGAGGCACTCACCAGTATGAACATAATGCGAGCTATGGTCGTAAAACTTGGAAACGAGGAAGACCGACTTCTTGCCATACCCACGACGTTAAGATGTTTGAGTTTTTTTTCGCTCCCCAGCTTCGGCTTCAGGAGTCTAAATGCAAGAGTGAGTCCGGCGGCGCCATCGTTCAAGCCGAGTTTCGGAGTAGAGTCCGCACCGAGCATGTTGACGATGCCGACAGGACATCAGCGTAAGTTGATGTCACCCGAATTTCACGACTTCAAGAAGATCAAGAGTCCATCGCAGTACGAGTGAGCGTCGATGAGTCGCCGGAGCGGTAGCGTCGCTCAAGGGAAACGGAAGAGCCTGAGGAAAGAAGTTGTCGCTGTGCGTAATACGTGATATTAATTACGTAACGCGCGCGCTCGCCGATTAGACGCCCTCTGATGTTTTTGCGCTACTTTGCCTCTTACCACCATGACCGAAACCCTTACTTCTTTTTGCCATGATGCTCAGCCCTCATGTCGACATCTGGACATTTAGAGTATATATGCTGAACCACAGAAGTACTGGTGACCGGTATAATTACCGCCCCGGCACTCAAGCCGACTTAGCTAATTAGGTATGCTCAGACCTCGCAGCTCACCATGCCTCACCCACGTTGCATAGACTACCGTATTTTCCTCGACACTCTGCAACACGACCGGCGGCGACTACGTGTATTGTTCCACACTCGCCGACCGTAAGATCCCGGACTACCACCTCTCCCCGGCCTCGTCTCATTCTCAAGACCCACGAAACACGGCGCGGGTAGTTATACACTCCAACTATTCACGACTCCTGAAGAAAGCGACGGCGATAAAACACGCAGGAAGGGCCCCGCTCAACGGTTTATACTCGAACTACCAGGATGTTAGGAGCTATAGGTCGCTGGTAAGTTAGGATATCCTCTCGCGTGCTGATCACTTTAGATCTGAACGCTGAGCCATTGGGTCTATACATGCAGGTGCGCTATGCGACGAACTGCCCTCTGTGCCGTGAATATCTCGCGCATGGTTATACAAAAGAATGCCGTCGCATTCAAAGATACGCAGCAAGCTGGCAGCCGTCTCTTGTCATCCGACAGCGCCAGCGATATTCTACCAAACCTCATCGACATTTCGCGCGCGTCAGAACCAGCCAGCACCAATAAGGAGCTAGTATTCGATGTGCGCACGCTACAATGCGAGAAGCTGACTCCAGACGACCATATCTCGCTCGAAGCCAACCGACGTGGGATCAACGTCCGTCTCTGCGGTGCACTCAGCTTACAGTTGGCGCCGTCGCACACCCATTCCTCCCCTATCCCCTTGACGTCAAATGCCCGGAAGATCCGGCTCCTCCCAGGAGCGTCTCTCGAAGAGTTTCCCGCTGGCCTCAAGGGGTTCCTGTACTATTGGTCGCCTCCATCCCGCATCACGCCTCTCGCGGGCGAAGTGCGATTCCGCACAACATCGAGGGCTGACCCCTCCTCGTTCACGAAGGGCGTGGACTACCACCTGCCCATGGGCGTCGTCTGGCGCATCCCGCTTCTCACCATCGCGTCGACGGAGGCATATGAGCCGCTGCAGAATGTTCTCCTGAGCGAACACCTTGTGACGGCGGGGATACTGGCGCGCGCGCGTACGCTCGGAGAGGAGTACAAGCTGCAGCGGAACATGAGCCGCGTCGTGCACTCGTTCTACCAGCCGTTTATCGTCGACCTGTGCCAGCACACACACACGTTCTACTTCCTCGGGCCACGGGGCCTGCACCACTCGTCGTTCTGGAACTTGTGCTCTGAGAAGGGGCAGGACATGCGGCACGCTGTGCAGCCGTTCGAAGGTAAGTCGCAAATCTGGTTGCTGGTAAGGATGCTGGACGCGTGCTGACTCCTGCGGCGGCTTGGTATCGCTAGGCAGACTGCTTTGCTGCTTCGAGCCATCGAAGCATCCGCGCAATGCTCACACGCGCACGGTTGTCATACGCATCCTCAAGGCGTTGTCGCCCGTCGGGTACGCCAAACTCTATGATGGCCCGCGGAATATGCCGTCGCCGCGGGCGGGCGCGCTGCTGTGCTCCTATAGCAGCACGGCGTGGTACGAGAATCCGCCGAAGACAGCACCTTGGAGGCTATGGAGCGTCAACGTCGACAGGTACCACAGCGAGATGAAGGTGCTATTCGACCACCAGGGCGTCACTCAGAGAAGCGTCTTGCCGCAGCGGCTTGGGCCCGCACCCGAGCCTTCCGCGAGGCTGTTGGAGTTTCTGACGAAGGACATGTGAGCGCTGCGTCGTTTGGGGCGACTCCTCGGGTACGTCGCTGCCTGCGAACATGATGCGGTTGAGAGGAGTTATCGACGGTACCGTGTTTTCTGTTGTATGACTGATGCTGCGCGTGCTGCTGATGCCAGTTTTGTTCGTCTGTAACTCATACGAAATGTATCTATAGTTCATACATGCCCATCCGTCCAGTCTCCGAGTCGTCTTCACCTGTGCGGTGAGTTGGTCTGTACTAGGTCGGCCGTACTTACAATTGTGACAGAGGATATCGTCAGCTCCACATCTGCTTGAAATATGTCTGCACCGCAGTGCCTCAGCGTGACCACCGTGAGTCTTGACAAATCGCAGCGCCTCGACGAGTGCCACACCGCCCATTCCTGTTTCGCTGGATTTGAGATCGTTTTCAAATTCTGGATACTCTACGTGTGATGTGTCAGAATACACTGTTGCGGCTTGACAGAGACGGAGAGGACGCGCGTACCAGAAAGAATGCTTCATACGCTCGAGCGATCTTGCGATGCAGGCCGGCGCGTGACAACCATTGCTTGCCATCGGGCGTAAGCAGGGAGATTGCCTCGATGTGGAGGTTGTACCCGGGCCACTAGCGCGAGAAAGTGAGCGGGGCATATTGGCACCTTGGCGTGTGTAAGGACCAACCATGATGAAGAGCTTGATACCAAACTGTCTTCCGCCCGACCCGGCGATGAGATCGTTGATGTCGGGATGGAGCATGTCGGGTTCCGGCCAGTTGATCGAGTCGCGCATGCTGTATGTGGGCAGAGGCGAGTCGCGCACGCTGCACATCTCGAAGGTGACCGGCTCAATTACCCTCTGGCCGTCCGGCACTCTGTCGTAGCACATCCGCTGCGGAACGAGGATGGTGGGGCAACGCATCATCGTACGCGCGGGGCTTCCCGCTAGCTTCAAGACCATTTGATGACTCGGATGGTAAGGGATGCAGAAGAAGGCAAAATTCGGGGGTTTAGCTGCGGGGTTGCTGGAACGACAAGACTCCAGGACGCCAGGCCACTATTTTTATATCTTCTCGGGCAGACCGGCGGCGGCGGGCCATAGCACAGGGTCAAAGCGCACGGGGGCGGGGTACCGCAGCGAGCGATACGTGCAGCGGCCAGCAGGGGGGAGTTGCAGGGTGCATGCCGCCAAGTTGGACGGTCGCTCGAGGTCGCTTAGACCAGCTGCGCAACCTACGTGATCGGCAGACAGTGACGCCGCAAACTTCAGGCTCTGCAAGGTGTTACATACACGGCCATGTATTAGGTCGCCGGACGGGGGTCGTCAGCGGCACATTTTGACTTTGAATACCGGAAGTTGGCTTGAAACTTAGCTAAAATTCCTGCCAGGAGGTCGCCGCCTTCGAGCTTTTGACGCTTGCGAGTAAATGTTGCACCATACGATTCTGCGTTACGTCTGTCTTGCGGGGGTTTAACGGTAGGGGAGCGGATGAGAATTCGGAGAATACAGTACTGCGAGTGGTAGCGAGTGGTACAAAGGTCGGGCGTTTCCGGAAGCATCGGGGAAATTGAGATGAGTGATGTGACCTATAGTCACATTACGCAGTCACATTCTACCGGCCTCTTCGCGGCTCTAATCTCTGTCTTTCTCTCTTTGCTCTTGCCACGCCCACGTCGCGCGATCTTGGGTGGAAGAGACCCCAGAACCACTTGAAAACTGTTGCACGACCTACGCGATTCAGAAGCTGCTATCTGGTACACCTAACGACTACCAAATCTATGGTTCACTGACTTTCCCATCTCAACTTTCTCTCCTCCCAAAACGACGAGGCGTCGTGAACGTATGACACACTGGGCGTAATAACTTATAAGACTTCTAAAGGACGAGGCGAAGATCGTTATATTAGGTAATGGCCGGAGCAATATGTTTCCCGTAAGTTGCTCAGGATGTTCAGTCGCGTGTTGATCTGATTCTTGGGCCTCTTGTATGCAGGTGCACATTTCCATCAACAGTTATCCGTGCTCTACAAATGTATACTCCACTGCACTACGGCACAACGTCCTTTGGAACACGTATCCCGTTAGGAGCCAGCTTGTGTCATTTCACCGCGTCGGTGATGTCCGGGCATCTTTCGGTATCCCTTGCACGGGAGAGGCATCCAACATCTATACCAAGTAGACGTTCAATCTACGCACATTTCTGCGCCACAATTTCCCCCCAGATGACCATATTCAGAACGGACCGGTGCGAGATCAATGAGCCGTCTTTTAGAGCAGCATAAGCTGATTAACTCACGTAGGATGATCCTTTACGGCGAAACGACACCGCTTGATATACCGCATGAGACCGCACGTTAGGATCCCTTGGCGTATTTGAATGGAGTGCTCACATCCACCCCATGCGGTGGCACTTTAGCTGACAGCGGGGGATCTCACGCGCTTCCCCAGCTACGCTGTCTGGACGACCATACCTGCTATCCGCGCTCTACCTGCTATCGACGCACTCTACCTGCTATCGACGCGTTCTCAGGCTCGTCATGCTTTCAAGCGCCCACAGGCTCCTCGAAATGAAGTAGCTGCTGGTGACAGGCTGCGCCGAACACAGGAACAATATATACGACACCTACGATCCTTGAAGATGGTAAAGACACACACATTTCGATTCGCTATGCCAACCTTCGATCCCGAACTCGCCGCCCTCATGCCGCCTCCTCCTCCTCTCAGCGACAGGCCGGCACACAGGCTGACCATCGCTGAGACGCGTGCACATTTTGACCACCATGTGGCTGGGCCGTTTAGAGCATATCTGGAGCCGCTCCTCCCTTCCGGTGAGTGCTCGTACGCTAGAGGCTGTGGCGGAGTTTTTACTGATCATGCTTTCGGGCAGAATCTACGTACACGCTGCGGGACGAGACCGTGGCGGTGGAGGACGGCGAGATCATCGTCCGAAATGTCGTCCCCGTTGTGGAGGATGAGCGCGAGACGTTCCCGGTTCTCGTTAATATCCATGGAGGGGGTGAGTGTGGGGCGTTGCGATGATTTGTCGTACCACACGCTAACGGTACCCGCCTCGGCTTACCAGGCTGGAGTGTAGGAAGCATCGGGCTCGACGACTACTTCCTGCGCAAGCTGAGCGTAGACCTCAAGCTCATCACTGTGAATGTCCAGTATCGGTAAGCCCAAACCGAACGATACATAGAGCGCCCACTCAGACCACCGACGCAGGCTTGCTCCGGAGCACCCCTTCCCGACCGCGGTCGACGACTGTCTCGCGGCGCTCAAATGGGTAAGCACACAAACCGAGTACCTCGTCTCGCACGTCTTCCTCATCCGATATTTCTCGCACACCTCAGGTTGTTCAAAACACCCCTCTTCTGAAGGCGGATCTCACTAAGGGCTTTCTTGTCAGCGGGCAGTCCGCTGGGGCGAACCTTGCCGCAGCGCTCGCGCATGAGACGCGCGACGACCCTTTCTTCGCTGGTCCCGGGCGGCAGATCACCGGACAAGTCATCCGTGAGCCCCTCGTCATCCACCCGGATGCTTATCCTGAGGAGTGAGTCGCGGTCCTCGTCTCGCTTTCTCACCTCTAGCAGGCACGCTCTAATCAGCATGCCCAGTTTAAAGCCCTCGCTACTCTCGATGGAAGGGAATAAGTACATGCCCCCGCTACCGCGGTCCGTCATTGAGCTTCTCATTGGTGTGTCCGCCCCGCTGCTCCTTCCTATCATCGCGAGCACGGCTAAAGCACAGCCTCAGGCTACTACAACCCTCCACCTACCAACCCGCGCTTCTCCCCGCTATTGTACCCTTCGCACGCTGGGGTCGCGCGCGCGTTCGTGCAGGGCATGGAGCTCGACCCGCTGCGCGACGACGCACGCGCGTACGCGGCCGCCTTAGAGGCTGCGGGCGTCGCCGTGCGCCACCTCGAGTGCGTATTATGTTATTGAGGGTGTTTTTGTTACGAGGATGCAGCTAATAAGGAGGTGTGTAGATATCCGGGCGTGTCGCAGGGGTTCTACTATATCTACCCAGCGATCAAGATCGCGGCGAAGGTGCGCGAGGAACTCGTAGAGGGTATTCAGTGGTTGCTCGGGCAGGAGGCATAGCCCACAAGGAGCGCAGTATACTTTTAAGGACAGTGGGACGATCAAGGATATATTGCGGTCATCATCTCACCTCGTCCGGCTTCCAACAGCAGCAATCAGACACAGACTGGTCATGTTCTTCAGGTTTTTTTCGGTCCAGTATCGATTTTTTCTGTTATATAAATCGGATTTGGGTTGTCGAGAGCGAAAACAAAATAGCTTCCTGTTGTCTCGTATGGTAATGCCGGCGTCGTAGTATGGAGGAGAACTGATAATTACAAAAAAGCGTTTCGCGCGCAATACTGAACGCTTCGGCAAGTGCCTGAGATCAGGCGCTCGCTCGCCCACGTCCAAAATCTACTGCAACATCTTCGAAGTACTTCCAACCTGTGCATGTTTTTCTCGTCTGATACTACGCTCACTCGCGCTTTTGTCTCTGGATCTGCTGGATAACGGTGAGGATACATGCAATAATCCGGGCATCTCTACACGAAATCCATGACAGATGTCGTGTACAACTCTCCCGCGATCGACGCGGTGATCAAGGTGCGTGAGGAGCTCGTGCGGGGGAATCTGCGGCTGTTGAGAACGGAGCATAGATGCGCCTGCGAGGAGACATGTATGTTCCAGTTTGCGATGGGTATAGGGCAGAGGGATATCAACCCGAGTGAGAATAAGGACACGATAAAGCAGCCGTGTACTCCCCATCGCTTACTGTCAAGTCGCTCGCTCGCCAGAGGATATGGTGATATGTACTCCCCAAAATACGGGGGCAATTCATGGACCCTTACGATTACCGCAGGCATGTCCCATGTCGAGTCGCTGACGGGCGGAAACTTTTCTAGCAACAGCCAGTGCGCCTTTTCCTTGGCATGCTCTTGCACTGACGTGTCCTTGTCAAATTCGAGCTCGTATGTCATTCGATCTATGGATCTCGCAATTCACTCACTCCAACACGAGCAAACTAGAGTCTGAGGCCAAGCGTCGCATAATCACCCAGCCGCCGGCCGCCTGTGCGAGCACTAAGTATTCTGGTTCCTGAATTCTGACAAACATCGTAGTGTCCATGAGCAAGGTGAGTGACCACGTCTGACTCTTGGTTGCACATTGACACATGCTGCTGACGCAGTGCACGCTGCTGGTCCTACTATGCGCGTGGATTATTGGTGTATATGGATAAAGTACGCGTAGGCGCTCACATGCCGAAGCTTCTCCGACCGGAGAAGGACGGCTTGCTGCCACAACGCTGCCTCTCTTCTTGGTAATCTACAACGTCAACATTCCTCACTGACACCCGTATCGCACCTTGGCGGCCTCCAGGACACGTAGGAACGAACTTCCGTTGCCCCAGATGCATGCACATAAATACAGAACGCACATGTGCAAGTAGCCCAGCAACTACCATTGACTACCATGCAGACCATCTTCGACCCAGAGCTAGCAGCCGCCATGGGCACACCGCTCGCCCCAGGTGAAGGCCTGCAGCACCCCCCGACTATGGCGGAGGCGCGTGCTCATTTCGAGCAGGTGGCGATCGCGCCTTTCAAGGCGTTCCAGGAGCCGCTTCTTCCATCAGGTGAGTGTATTGGAGTCAGATACTACGTTAAAATGACTTACTGGTTATTGCAGCGTCCGCATACATCCTGCGTGACGAGACGGTGTTAGTTGAGGACGGGGAAATCATCATCCGATGTGTCGTCCCTGTCGTGGAGGATGCGCACGATACATTCCCCGTGCTCGTCAATATGCACGGAGGAGGTAAGTATGAGAACGCCTTCGTATCTTGACAGGAGATGCTAACGGTCTCCGATTATATTTTTCTTTAGGTTGGAGTGTGGGAAACATCGAGCTCGACGACTACTTCCTGCGCCAGCTGAGCGTCGAGCATAAACTGTCTACCGTGAATATCGAGTATCGGTACGCCCATAATTTAATGCTTCGTCGGGGCACAGACTCACAATAACGGTGCAGGCTCGCTCCGGAGCACCCCTTTCCTACTGCAGTCAACGACTGTCTTGCCGCACTCAAATGGGTAAGCGCATATCATCGCCCTTGCGTGTATGATTTCTCTTCCTGATTCCCATCTTCCATTTCCAGGTCGTCCAAAACACTGAGCTCCTCAAAGCGGACCTCAACAAAGGCTTCCTCGTAGGCGGACAATCTGCCGGCGGGAACCTCGCCGCCGTCCTCGCACACGAGACTGTCAAGGACCCCTTCTTCACTGGGCCGGGGCGTCAGCTAACAGGACAGGTCCTCCGTGAGCCCTTGCTCGTTCACCCAGACGCGTACCCCACAGAGTGAGTGCCACTCCGCCATCTATGATCTTGCCCAATAACGGGTCCTAATACCTAACCTCTGCAACCACCCAGGCTGAAACATGTGTTACTCTCGATGGAAGAGAACGCAAACGTGCCCCCTCTCCCCCGCACCGCCATCTACCACGCCATCGGTACGTACTTCGCGCTTCCCCTCCCTCCTCGACGCCCCTCACCCCTCTTTGTCCGCAGGCCTGTACAACCCACCTCCGGCCGATCCGCGCTTCTCTCCGCTGCTGTATCCTGCGCATACCGGAGTGGCGCCCGCATACGTGCAGGGCCTAGAGCACGATCCGCTGCGTGATGACGCCCACGCGTACGCGGCCGCGCTACGTGCAGCGGGCGTCCCAGTCCGTTACATCCAGTGCGTGGTTTTCTCTGTTCCTCCCCTCGTTCTTCCTTCGGTGATGTGCTGACGGTTCTGGACGGATGCAGGTACCCGGGCGTGACGCACGGTTTTCACTATGAGTACCCGGCGATCACGGCGGCGGTGAAGGCGCGCGCGGAGCTCGTGCAGGGGATCCAGTGGTTGCTCGGGCAGGAGGCGTAGCCCGCGAGCAGCGCGGGATAGTAGAGGTCAATGGATACGTTCCTGCTGTTTAATTTACTAGTCACTGCCCAGATAGATCTTCATTTGCGGAGGAGTGATCTACCTGCTGCTTGATGGTCGGTTTTTGGATTTGATCGAGCGGGTGCCTGTTTACCGGCATATCCCGAAGCGTTCAGTATCGCGCGCTAGTCAAAATTGCTCACTCTCCGCTTGCCTTCGTACCACGACGATGCGTACGGGACAGTTAGCGGAAATCTACTTGTTTTTACTCTTGCTGACCCTCGGCCGATCTCTAAACTGCTCTCACACAACCGCTTTCGTATGGTGCGTCATGCATGATGCTGTGTGAATTGATGAATCCGTTACCAAACGTTCGCTCAGTAGCGCCTAGAACAGTCATGCCAGAAGGAGCGAAACGAGCATCAGCGCTGCGGCGGCTTATTCTATTCTTGACATGAAAGGTGCACCTAGTGCACCCAGCGCATGCAACTTCTCCGTGCGCTCCATGACGCTGCTGTTGGGACGCGGCCATCGACGGCACCGACTCCGAGGAGCCAGTCTCGTCACCAGCCATCATTTCCCGGGGTCCACCCTCACTTTACAACAAGGGACGGGACTAGAAACCGACGCATGGGAAGGTCGGCAGTTATGGCCGGTGTGGCGGAAGATGTTTGGGTATCTTTGTAGCGGTGTACTGCGCCGCCACGTAGGTATGTGACTCCTTCCGGGACACGTTGTCGTATATCCGCATCTTCTCACCGCCATCACCTTCATCAGTCCCGCGACTGAGAGCCTGTCCCAGGACGGAATGCCGGTCGGGCTTGATCAGGGCTCGCCGATGGGGGATCTGTAAGCGACTGTGTACTTGAGAAGGGTCCTTACAAATACCGCAACCCTCCACGTCGCTTCGTTGTGAGTCGTCTCCTACAGATTGGCATGGGCTTATTAATGGACGCGACCTAGCCCATGATGGCAACATAGCTGTGCTTTACCGCATATGGCCGTCCCTGAGGTGCATTGATATCTCATACATGCGCCCACGCGGCGACACTTCGGCTGAGACCGTCTCTTCGTCTGGTGGTACTAAGCCCGCATCGGGTGGATCTCACGCACCCAAATCCTGGCGGCCGCCGCTTCACCAGCTACGCTATCTAGATGACCATACGTCCTATCATCGCGCTCCTAGACGCGTCACGGTGTCAACCGCCCCTAGGGCATTCGAAATAGAATGGTCGCTGGTCTCAAGCTGCCCAGGGCGCAAGATGGGATATATACCGGACCAACAACCCCTGGAGGCAGTACACACATACCACACATCTCGATCTACGATGCAAGCCTTCGACTCTGAGCTCGCTGCCCTCATGGTGGCTCCGCCTACTGCTCCGCCTAGTGACAGGCCGCCGCACGTACCGACTATTGCTGAATTGCGCGCACATTTCGACCGCTATGTGGCCGGGCCGTTTATCGCGTACCAGCAGCCTCTCCTTCCAGCGGGTGAGTGCTCGCGTGTTAGAGGTTACAGCGAAATATCATGCTCATTGTGAAATACAGAATCCGCATACACGCTGCGGGACCGGAAGGTAGCGGTGGAGGGCGGGGAGATTACCGTCCGTACCGTCGTCCCGGTCGCGGAGGATGGGCACGAAACTTTCCCGGTGCTCGTGAGCATTCACGGCGGAGGTGAGCGTCGGCCGGGGGAGCTGCAATATTCTAGTGCGTCGAAGGCTCACAATATCCGTTGTACTCACCAGGTTGGAGCGTCGGCAGCGTCGATATCGACGACTACTTCTTGCGCAAGCTGACGGTGGACCTTAAATTGACCACCGTGAATGTCGAGTACCGGTAAGTCTGAAGTGGAGTATATGTACACGCCAAGCGTTCATTCATGTCACCTGTGTAGTCTCGCCCCTGAGCATCCCTTCCCCACTGCGGTCGACGACTGCCTCGCAGCGCTCAAATGGGTAAGCCCATACCCTCTGCCTCGTCTTGTCATTATTCATACGCATCCTTCACTATCTGTAGGTCGTCCAAAACACGTCCCTCCTCAAAGGGGACCTCACGAAGGGCTTCCTCGTCGGCGGGCACTCGGCAGGGGCGAACCTCTCCGCGGTACTCGCGCACGAGGCGCGCGACGATCCTTTCTTCGCTGGTCCCGGACGGCAGCTCACTGGACAGGTCATCCGGGAGCCTTGCTCTATCCACCCGGATGCGTACCCCGAAGAGTGAGCGCCACACCCACTGCGGCTTTTCGTCTCTAGTCTACACGTGCTGATGAGAGTCACGTTTAGGTGGAAGTCGACGTTGCGCTCGATGGAGGAGAACAAGGACATGCCGCCTCTCCCGCGCGCCATCGTCGAGGCTCTCATCGGTGCGTTCTTCCCGTCTTCACTTCCTCAGTGCGTGTCTGAGCGTATCCTCTCGCAGACTTCTACAAGCCGACTCCCGCGGACCCGCGCTTCTCGCCGCTGCTGTACGCCTCTCACGCGGGCGTTGCTCCCGCGTTCGTGCAGGGTATGGAGCTCGATCCCCTGCGCGACGACGCGCGCGCGTACGCGGATGCTCTGGCGGCGGCGGGCGTTTCCGTGCGTCACATCCAGTGCGTGCTCCTTCTTACCTTCTTTTTCGTCTTTCCGTCTTCCGAGAACGGAGCTAACGGAGGCGTGTGCAGATACCCGGGCGTGTCGCACGGGTTCCACTACAACTACCCGGCGATCAAGATCGCGGTGAAGGTGCGCGAGGAGCTCGTGCAGGGCATCCGGTGGCTGCTCGGGAAGGAGACGTAGCCCGATAGCAGCGCGAGATACGGCTGATAGAAGTTTTGCGTTCGTCGTACTGATGTACTACTCCCCGCTCAGATGGTTGTTTAAAATCGCAGAAGCAGTCGCTTATGTGGCTTGCTTTTATCTTGCTCATCGTGCGGCCCGCAAGATTGACAATTTAGCACCATGGTACTCGTACGGACCGCTGTGGGCTTCCCGGCTGCGTCACTGTTCCGATGTCGATGTCGCCTTCCCCATGTGGCTGCGCCTAGCGAAGGAATTCTGTGTTACCCTCTTAGATATATTCCGTGTGAGTCAGGATTATCTGGATATCTGTTGTATCAGTTGACGATTCGTTACTGAAAGTTTGCCAAGTAGCGCCGCCTCGGTTGTGTACAATCATGTAAGCGCCCATGAGACAGCCCTGGCGGATTGCGCAAGAGGGGGGGCCCAGGCCGGACGAAGCACGCAGCAGGCGGGGCAAGGCCGGTCTGTGTACTCCATGATGCTGCGGTGGCGTCGCGGTCATCGACGGCATCAAGGAGCAAAGGACAGCGAGAGAACGCGGGTGAGAGGAGAAGAGAGGAGTGTGCTCCGCCCGATTTGGCAAGTGACGTCATTCGCTCATGACGTCCTCTCCTCCTCCCGTCCCATAAAGCCTCCAGGTCTGCGTCGGGTCCGCCCACAACTCCATCTCACGATTCTTCACGAACTCTGATCTTGTTCTCTCTCTTCCTCGTACCACGACCATCTCCTTTACGACGACGACCAACTACACAGCCATGTCTGGACTTCCCCCCGTCATCGACTCCGCCCAGCCCGGCACCCCCTCCAGCGAGTGGGCGCGTTCGACCACTACCGCAGCACTAAGCCGCACAGAGCCTGCTCCCGCTTTCTCGACTACAAACGACAACACCTCAATCCCACCCACCACAGGCGGTGTCTCCGTCTCTTCAGCCAACGACGCGCAGAAGGGCACGTTTGACGCCAAGACCTACCATGTCGCCCCTACCACCCCCGGCTCTGAGTTCCCTGGCGCGTATCCTCCTACGCCTGGAGAACGTGCTGGTGGTCCCATATCCGCTGACACGGTGAGGGAAACCGCCACGAACGCGGCCACGACCGCGCAGAGTGCAGCTGCCACTGCGGGCGGCTACATCCAGTCTGCCGCGACGACTGCCGCGGGGTACCTGCCCCAAGGTGTCGTTGACACTGTCACTTCCTACATCCGTGAGTCGTAACGACACTTTTCTTTTCTTTCACAAACTCATCATTTGTTGTTGCAGCCTCTTCTACCACCACCTCTACCATGTCCACCGCACGCGCATCAGAGCACGACACGGAGCACAAGACCTCGTTCCCGACTCGCGAATTCTCTGGCGCGAGCACTGGCGAGCGCACAGGCGGCGTCGGCTCCCTCCCCGGCCCTCTCAACGAGGCTGCCGTCACGAAGCTCCCCCACGAGCGCGTAGACGAGGAGAAGTACATGACCGCCGCGGCTGCTGCCACCGCGCTCGCCGCTGGGGCATACGCCGCCAAAGACCGCGTCGCGAACGCTCTTCCGTCCGCCCAAGACGCGTATGACGCGAAGGACCGCGCCATCGGTTCTCTGCCTTCGACTCAGTCAGCTTCGCAGACGCTCGGGCAGATCTCGCAGAACACCGCGCAGACCGTAAAATCTGCAGGTAAGCCACCTTTTATTCCATGTACCACAAATAGCCGCTTAACGTACCCTTTAGCACCCGCCATCCCCGGCGTGACCAGCACCACGCACTCCACCGCCGTCACCGCCTCCACCATCCCCAGCCGCGAGCTCAACGGCGCACAGCCGGGCGACCACTCCTCCGGCGCGGGCGCGCTCCCGGGCTTCCAAGACGAGCCGCACGTCGCGCGACTCCCTGAAGAGTCCGCGAACCCGCAGTACGACTCTGGTCCCATCGACAGCGCGGCGCAGGCTGCGCTCAAACCCTCGCAGGAGCGCTTCGGCAACGAGTCCGCGACCGGCGATATGCGCCGCGTGGGCGGCGTTGGAGCCTTGGTCGGCGGCCGCGACGAGTCGGGTGTCGCACTGGCGCCCGATGAGCGCGCGGGTACTGCTGCGTCTACGACTGGGGCGAGCAGGGTGTTGCCGTCGCAGGAGCCTCTTGGCAACGACGCGGTGGGTACGCCGAAGAAGGTCGGCGGCGTTGGGGCCCTTCCCGGCAACTTCAACGAGTCCGGCGTAGCTGTCCTCCCCGACGCGCGCGCGTCGACTGGTACCGGCACTGGTACCGTCACGTCGCCTAAGACGTCGACGCCCGCACCCGCAGTCCCTCCCAAGGACGAGCACGCCGACAACGGCGGTGAGAAGAACTTGAAGAGCTCTGCAGGTGGAACACACGGGAAGCCCAATGAGGTGAGTTTACATACCTACTCGTCAAAGATGCAAAGGATGGACGGACGGAAGGACGAGCGTGGGCAGCAGCACGCGCTCTCTGGGGACCCTGGGTCTGGTCGCACTGCAGAGTCCATGGACCACCAGTCTGATCAGGTTAAAGACAAGCCGCGCGAGCGGCAGGCAGACGCCCTGCACGCGACTCTGAGGCCTCGGGCACATGCGCTCGGGGCGGAGGAGGCGCGCTGGGGCGGGGCGCCGCTCAGTGGCGCGAGTGCGCGCGAGCAGCTCGAGTCCGATGAGCGAGCAGAAGTACGTGACGCGTGCCGCCCCGTCCATCCACTCGCATCCGAGTACATGATAGAGAGCCAACGCTAACATCCATCTCTTCCAGGGCGCCGCATACGACACCGACTACCACCCCGCAGACCTGCACCCCGCGCCCACCACCCCGACCTCCCACTCTGACAAGGCCGACGACGAGTCGCGCCCGACGGAGTCGCGCCACGAGAGCGCGGCGCCCGACTCCCCTTCGACCACCGCGTCGCCCGCGACGAAGGCGAAGAAGGCGGGGTTCATGGACAAGATGCGCGGCGAGGCGAAGGTGCTGCTCGGGCGGATGGAGCACAATCCGGGCAAGGTCGAGGCGGGGCAGCGGCAGAAGGCCGGGGAGGCGTAAACGTCCTCCGGTCGGTGTACGCGTACCGATTTGGACAGGTTGATTTACTGTAATGGTGTACGATAGAGCCCGCGCAACGCGGCGTGTAATCATAATTGCGCTGTATCATATGAACTGAAGGCTCTTGTATCGCATCAATCTGTCATCGTGTATTCCGAGTAGGTGAGGGTGTGCCCGCGATCCTGCTACGCACCACTTGCGAGGTCAAGCATGGGGATGGCATAGAGTCATCGGTGGCCCTGACGCCAGTCCGTCTTTATGTGCTTCAATTGGCCCGAACAACTCTGTGATCGCCCGACCCGACACCAGATCACACTCAGCGCGGACGTAGATGGGCAGGGAAAGAAGGGGTCCGTTACAAAATTGACCGTAGTCCTGAGCGTCTCATCCCATAGATCGATATTTATTTCGAGCGCGTTAGTTCCCTAGTATCTGCTCCGACAGCCGATATACGGAAACCATCGGCCCCTCGTGCTGCCGGCACTAGAGCTCCCATCTGGACTGGCACGTTGTACGCCGAGTTCGCCTCTGCCGTTCCTTGTTCAATCCAGTTGGCGACGATCGACCTGAACTCGTCGCTGTCCTCAGGCTGCCAATCTTCCTGCGGCATTGCGTCGGATCCCGGTGTGTTCGGGGCGTTCCAGTGAGCGCGCCACACTCGTCGCAGTAAGCCTATCGCGCCGAGACGGACCCCTCCGTACACAGTCTTCGGTATAGGCGGGCTGGACCAGCGGTGTATACCATCAGTCCAGGGGACATGGCGAGAAGAATGACTTATAAACAGGTGTAAGATTGAAGGGAAGGACGGGGAATCAGTAGAGCCCGTACCTCCGTTGCGCGAGGGTGGCTTCGGGCACCGCAAGCAGTTCCATGCCACTCGAAGTTGCCACAATTGTTTCGGAAGCGCCTTCTATGCGAGACTGTTGCGAGGGTCCGACGCCGGTCCCTAGCTCGCTGATGCGTGAGGGACTAGAAGGCCACTCATACGGCTAGGAAAGCGGGTGTCAACCGTCGTAATGATCGGTTCTGCGCGCGAGAGGATTGCGAAAAAACGTACGTAGTCTATTTGATGTCTAATGAGCGAGACCTTCCTCGTCCAAGAACGGATCTTCCGCGAACGCTTGGAATTGATGCCGTGTTGTACGGTGTACAGGAGGACTGCGGCGATCGTCTTCGGTTTATTCGTCACCGCATTCCGTCGCACAGTTGTGCTCTCTTTGTCAATCCTAGGGGTACGAAATTCAGCTCCGTGTCAGACAAGGAATGCAGCATTTGCGGTGGGATATGCACTGATACACACCTCTTGAGCGCGGACCTGTAGACTGCTGCAAGCGCGGGATTGCCTTCGAGGTACCCGTAGCGTTCCAATTCGTCTATACGTTGATATGTTGCCCATAGTAGTTCCTCCAAACGCAAGACTTGGGCAAATGGTTGGCGGGCTTTGAGGAATCCATACGCACATCTGACGCAGCCGAGGAGAGAGAGAACACCGAAGACGGTGCCGAGGATGTCATACGGCGAGGGCATATTGGTGGCGAGAAGCGGGCTATTGCGACACGGATTGGATCTCTCCGTCTAGTCTTTGCAGAGATGGACGCCTAGTATTGAAGCGCGACTAAGGTTAGGATGTTGGATGAGGAAGGATGGGATGTAACACTTATCTGGCTGGATCTTATGCCCCTCGACGGCGCGCCTACAGAGAGTTTGACCCGCGCATCGGAGGCCTATGCTTGATTTTTGTCGATTCCGGTGCAGAACACAAACGAGAGAGTGATACACTGGACACCTGTCAGTCCGGCATGATGCATGAGACCGAACGGTGGTTGAAAGTACCTAAAGAAGTAACGAACGCACGCGTATCCTTCGACTTCGAAGATCCATGCCGACCCGAATCACTCGCCCGCATATGCGCTGTACCGCCGGGTAGCCACTGACTCTTCAAAGCCCAGGTGTGTTGTTGGAGACATGCACGACCGCCTGGGTGAAATGGCGAATAAAACACGAGTTGACAGAGTGCGTGTGCGGAAGAAACGAATAGGTAACGAGGCGTCTCGGCGTTCGCCGCACCACTTTCAGCAGTCTGCAACGACTACTGCACCGGACTGGCAATACTTCCGACCACATACCAGTGCTATATTTGAAAGCATGTCGTGATGCGGCTGCAGATGCTAACACGGGGTCAGATGGCAGGTATTGGCGTAGCATGAGGCGCAGTGCGGGCGGTGCAAACTCACTTCGCAGGATGATCACAGCAAGACGTCGAAGCTGGGCATGGCAGTGCAAGATGTTTGAGTTCTAAGTATTCCAGAAGATTTTGGCGTACCCAGTTTGACATACATGGCAGACAAAGAACGACGTCCACCTGCTGTCACAGCCACGCGATAGCACTCAAATTCGATAGAGCATTTCACCGTCGTCAGTCTATGGCACGGTTTTTCGGACTCGAGCACGGGGTGGCTTTCGTACCTTGTTCGAAGCGATAGAAGCACAGTAAGATGACACCCATAGGAGCGCAGACACCTCGGAGGCGGCGCAGCCGAGAGCGAGATAATCCAAGTAGTGCCGAGTGCCGGGGGGTTTTGACGCTTAGATGGGTCCCGCAACTGGGAAACTTGCAAGCCTCTGAGATTTGGACAACAGGCTCGACATGGTCGAAATATTGAGGCGCGACTGAGGCTAGCGTTGGGCAGCGGAATCTAGAACAATGCCGTGTCTGAATATATATATGTCCGCATTGTACACTCGCAGAAGCTCCAACGGTGTTACGCACCTATGCACCCAGGACCTGTGAACCCGCCCGCACGATGTATTAGTATGTTATCTGTGTCGTTTGCATGTGTGAAAGTGCCATCGCGGGGCGGACTTTCCTGTTCCCTGAGGCTAAACATCCGCAGTGAAACTTTGCAATATGCATCCTAAAAGCTAACGGATACATATATCTGCCACACTGCAGATAGGGGTCCTCCTCGCACGAGAGGGTAAGCAGTAAAAGTGAGCGACATGCAGGGACGACCATCACAGTGTTACATGGCCATCGCGTTGCGAGCACCCTACGGTAATTGGGTAGACGTCAGTCAACTTCAAGCGCTTGCAGAACACTCGAATCTCTCACGCACCCGTCTCCCATTGGCGCGCTAGCTTGAAGTCATTGCGGGACCCGAGTGCATATTCGCATGTGCTCAGAGAGCATGTCCCCGCGCGCGAAAGGCTCGTTGCAGTATGGGCACTCCTTTGCTACACTGCAGCATGCGGGAAGAGTCAGCGCAGATCCGGAAACGCCGCTATAGTAAATGAGACACGTACGGCCCTCGTTGTCTTATAGTCGACTCGGACTCTCCCATGCTCGTCTCAATTCCGGTCGCCATGTTAGGCTCTAAGTCGTCCGAGTCGTCGCTGTTATAGCCGTCGCTAATTGGGGTGTCGTTGCCGGACGCGAGAGGTGTTTTCCGCGATGGTGATGCTGAGGAGAGCACGCCACTACGCGAGCGCGACAGTTGCGAGGGCGGAGTAACAGGACTGCAGGGGCGCGACGCGTCTGATTCCGGCGGGGTCGTCAGTTGCGTGTCACCACGTGAGTGCGGTGGCTGCGGCGACGGCTTAGCAGGGGTACTGGGGCGCGTCGCATCTGGGGTCGGCAGCTGCACAATGGCATTGTGAGGGGGCTGTGGTGGTGACGGCTGTGGGACCTGCGGTAGGGGGTCGATGTTGTTCGGGGAATGCGAAGAAACCGAATCTTGAAGAACCGACGGTGGGACTGACGGCTGGAGGGGCTCAGCGGTGAATTGCCGCATCTGTGTCGATCCGAAAGTCTTCAATACTGAAGTCGCCGTGTGTTGGTAGTAAGGAGGTACTCACACGGCCAAGCTGAGCTTTGATACCTGTGACGAGCTTCGTCCAACGGCAGATGTCTTTAGTGAGCTCAGAATTGAGGCCGTATCGAACTGAGTAGACGAGTACCGCGACGATCGTCTCGGGAGCGCCGTCCATCGCTTCGCACCGCGCTTCATAGCTCGCCTCGTCTATGCTGCCGTCGAACAATGATAGATGAGCGGCGCCCTTAGAACGTGAAATTATAGAAGGTGCAGTACTTATCGAGCGCGCTGCTGTACCTGCTTAAAAGAACACCGGCTTCCTGTATGCAGAGCTTACGCCGTGTAAGCTCGGCGACGCGGTCGCGTGCTTCCTGCATCGCGGCCTTGTACAGCTGCACTTGCGCCTCGGGCTGACCGGATTTGAGGATCTCGTGAGCGACCTTGAGACATCCTAGGAGTGAAATGGCGCCGAAAACGACCCCGAGGACGTCGTAAATGGTTGGCATGCTGGTGTAGGCGCGACAGAGCCGAGGTCACGTAATGGGCTTTGGTGTGAGATTAAGCGGGTGAAGGTGTAGTTGTGTCGACTCAGACGGAGTGTGGCAGGGACGCCGACGCGAGGATAGCGGAAGCCAGCAATGCAGTTATAGGTACGCGCTTTCGCACTACGTAGTGCTATAGGGCAGTGCGAGGGACGAGCCTTGGGGTTGTGTGGTTTGATAGACGCTTCGGAGCGTTCCCTGCGGGGTTCTTTGGTCTGTAAAGTGCTGTCAGTGTCAGCTGGACTACATTGCTGCGGTGGACCGGAATCATCGGAGCCGAGATTGGTTCAGTAATGGGGATTGCTCAAAGCATTCTGAAAAGCAACGCCAGAATGCGCGTGACTTACATATAAATACAGTGAATATCCACACCAGCCAGTGTACGATGACGCCGCGCAGCTCGGGCCATGCGGGGATTTCCTGGATGCAGTGCGTGCGTGGCGTACTGCGCCCATGAAGCTTATTCGCAAACGCAATGCGCATTGAGTGGGGCGGTTGTGAGCCAACCAAAACGCAGGGATTATCGGCTCAGCCGATCAAATCGCAATGATTTTTGGGCGTCGAGTTTGCAAATTACCTCTATGAGAACCACCATCTGTCACAAGTTTTGAGAGTCGTTGGGGTGATAGTGCATTATGGTAACCCATCCGGGTAAGGGGGCAGGAGGGACGTACCAGACGTCACTGTCTACAGGTCCGCAGCAGCGAGCGCTCCCCATTTTCACGACACCGCGTGGCCACAGCGACCGCAGAGCGTACGATAACCCTGCCAAACCTTTCACATCTGCCTGGGTCGAATCCGGTGTCCTCTTGGGATGCCTCCGCATTCGCATCTATCCCCGCACTCTCGATCCACGCAAGGGAGCAATCCAGACTATCGCCTGCATCGCTGTGGAGGTCAGAACAGCAGAAAGCAAGAGCATGTAGAGGTGCACATGGCCAAACCCGCCAGACAATGCTATTGGTTTGCCAGAGAGTATAACCTGGTAAACCAGTAACATCGCCTGGCGAGCATAGCGTGCGCTAGCGCTCGGCTTGGATTCGCTATCGGCGATTCCGATGCCATCCGAGAGGCATATTTCTCAGCTGAATTCCGTGGCATGCGCTCGCTTGTACCCAAAGATCCATGGACAAAGTTGAGCCCTCGAGTAGCCCGGCAGCGCACAATGAGGGAGGACCGTCGGTCGTTCCGAGAAGGGGAGGCGGTGGCTCACTTCACTATTTTATGAGAGTATTGACATCGAGACTCGACATGATCTGCTGCATATGGCCTACCGTTGGTCCCAGGGAGAAAGCGACTTCATCCTGTTATTGATTGATACCATGGTTTCGTCACGGAAGGTTACTCGCTTTGGTGGATGGCATATCGTGATGAATAGGGTTCGACATGCACGTCGCCGAAATGGAGCGACCTGCCTGTGTAAGATGCAGCTTGCAGGCTTGAGCCAGCTGGGTTCGTCGGGTGAGAGAGGAGAGAGCGAGGACGAAGGAAGAGAAAGAGCTAGCTTAAGGAGCGCCGAGGCCGACGCGTTACTACGACCGGCCCGACGGCCCGAAGACGCGCAGCTAGTCGCGTCGCGTCGATGGGCGTCTTTCTCATTCTCCTCGTCCCTCTCCCTCTCTCTCCGCTCTCGGTCTTTCGGTCGACGCGCCTTGCTCGTTTCTTGCTTGCTTACACTCGCTTCGATAGAAATTGAACACCGGAGGACGCTTGCATACTCTTAGACTGGCTGGCCTGCTATATAGACTCTACCTACGCTGTGAACGCGTGGAGGCCTGCACACAACCTATTGCGACATTTCTATAGCTCGTCGCTATTCGTGGTCATGGACTCTGGAGACTCTTCTAGTGGCATCAAAGCGCTTGATGGTGGGTCTATTCACAAGATAACATCCGGCCAAGTCGTTGTCGACCTCCAGACCGCCGTCAAGGAACTCGTCGAGAACAGTCTTGATGCAGGGGCCACCAACATTGGTATGTCGCTTGAATTACTACTTTGTATATCTGTATTTACCGCTGCACTAGAGGTACGCTTCAAAGACTACGGTCTCGAGTTCTTCGAAGTCATAGACAACGGCAGCGGCATATCTCCCGCAGACTACGACTCAATCGGTGAGTAACCCCCCTATGAGCCATGTAACTGTCACGAACCGCACGGACCTCTGGTAGCACTCAAGCACCATACCTCCAAGCTTTCATCCTTCACCGATCTTGAGGCAGTCACTACCTTCGGCTTCCGCGGCGAAGCTCTCTCGTCCCTCTGTGCCCTTGCGGAGTCCGTCTCCGTGACCACGGCCACTTCAGCTGAAGCACCCGTCGGCACTGTCATCGAGTTCGAGCGCACAGGAAAGGTCAAGAGCCGGAAAGGCAAAGCCGCTCGCCAGGTAAGCCTGCCTCTTAGCCTCACAGCAGCCGTCCTCATCCGGCACCGTTTCAGAGAGGCACGACGGTGACCGTGTCGGGCCTGTTCAAACCGCTCCCGGTTCGTCGAAAGGAGCTCGAGCGCAACGCAAAACGCGAGTTCGGCAAGTCCCTCACGCTCCTGCACGCGTACGCGCTCGTTCCCTGTGCAAAGGAGAATAAAGGCGTGCGCCTGAGCGTGACGAACCATCCCAAGGGAGGGTATGTACACCGTGAGCTGTTCTGCGTTACGCATGCTGAACGTGTTAACGCAGCAAGAAGAGCAGCCAGCTGCGCACGGACGGCACACCGTCAACGCGAGCGTCCGTGTCGGCCATTTGGAGCCCGAAGGCGCTGGACAACCTCGTAGATCTTGAGTTAGACTTCAACGTGGAGGTTGAAGCGGCCGTGCTCCGCCGTCTCGGGAAGACCCAAGATGACGGGTACGTCTTGGCTCCACTTATGATTTGCATAAGGTGTTCATGACGGATGGTGGTGTGTAGAAGCGCGAACGAGGTGAAGGTGCGGGGCTTGATATCAAAGTTTGCGGTCGGTAGCGGTAGGACCGGGACCGACCGCCAGTTCTTCTTCGTCAACGGTCGGCCGTGTTCTCCCTCGAAGGTTTGTGTGCTCCGAGCATGGCGCTGTTGAGGTTTGTGTGTATGGCTGATTCGCGTTGGCAGGTTCAGAAAGCGTTCAACGAGGTTTACCGGTCGTTCAATGCGACGCAGTCGCCCTTCATCATCGCGGATTTCGTTCTACCTACGAGTAAGCCTGGACAATATCTCTCTCGTTCGATTTTCGCTTATATTTGCGCACTCTTAGACTCATGCGACATCAACGTCAGTCCCGACAAGCGCACTATCCTACTCCATAGCGAGAATCACCTCGTGCAGGCGCTGAGGGCAGCACTTGAGGAGAAATACGCACCCGCACGGTCGACCTTCGACGTCAACGCAACGCAGGCGCCTCGCAAGGCGGATAGTATCACGAAGCCCGTCGAACCCCACAGGGAGGAGGCGGAGGTGGAGAACGAGCCGTTATTTCTCCCCGATGATGCTGGCGACGAACCTCCAGCTCACTCTTCTCAGTCATCGAATTCCGTAGGGTCCGCTGCGCCTGTCATGCCCGCGCGACGTTCGGTCTCGCCTGCTCAGGAGGACGAGTTCTCGTTCGGCGTGCCTACCCTTCTCTCCGGGCCATCTGCGTCCTCGAGCGCTGAGGACGCTTCCGCGAACGACGAGTCCGGTGACAGCCAGAGGGGCACTGTGGATCGTGCAGCTCAGGACGCAGAAGACGAAGACGAAGCCCCTGGCAGCGACCACGCTCGTGCGAACGGACTTTCCAAGCGCGCAAGATCTGCAGGCGACAACCAGACCCGCACGAAGGACGTTCCCCAGTCGCCCACCATCACCCAAATGGTCGCGAAGCGGAGTGCGCGTGCGTCTTTGTCCAGCGCCGGTGATGCGGATGAGGACGGCGCCGTTGAGGATATCCTGACCGCCGACGTGAGTAACGAGCCGCACTCCTCGCCTCTCCCGCGGAGAGTTGCGTCGGCACGGCAGGTTTCCGTAGTCGACGACCCACCTATCCCCGCTGTCTGCCCCCCAGCACGGCCTACGACGCGTATGTCGTCGCTGCCGCAGCCGTCGTCGAGCCAGATGGTCCTGAGCACGTCTGGGGCGTCGTGGAACCTCCGTCGGCCGGCGGACGAGCCGGGCAGCGCCGAGCGCCCGCGCAAGAAGGGCAGGCGCGAGTCCCCTGAGTCGAGCAAGGACACGCGGCAGGGGATGCGTCAGCTATTGCGTGGGTTTGCGCGGACGGGGAGTCAGGTGGATGAGACGGCTATGGACGTCGATGAGGATGAGAAGGACGAGGAAGAGGGAGGTGTTGAACACGACGAAGCGGAAGTCAATATGGAAGACGTGGGGGTGACAGAGGACGTACGGTCTGTTGCCTCGGATGGCGACTCAGGAGACCCACCGGAGGACGACCCGCAAGAAACGGAACCCAGCGAAAGCCACGACGTCTTTATGGAGGACCATACCGTTGAGGATATCGAGGAAATAGAGGTCGACAGCGTTGAAGTTGTGCAAGGCGTGATCGAAATCCCCGAGGATGATATACCGACAGCACCCTCGCAGGGACACGCGCGGGAGCACAGCGATGTCGGCACGTCCTCCGCCATCACGACGGCGGTCAGCGAGGAGATTATTCGTACGAATGAGCGTGAGGGTGTTTCTCTGACCTTCGACCTTTCGCGTGTCACGAGTGCGTGGAAGAAGCTTCATACGCGATTGGCCGATGCGCAACGTGAGCAAGAGGTTATCGTACGTGAGAAGGACAGGACGGACAGGCCCGCGGTGCCGATCGACGTGGCGGACGAGGAGGCGACGGAAGTGCTATCGCGGGTAATCGACAAGGCCGACTTTGCGACTATGGAAGTCCTCGGCCAGTTCAATCGGGGGTTCATCATCGTGCGCCGGCGCAAGACCATACGCGCGAACTCCGAGGAGGAAGGGCCGGGGGTGGAGATGGACGACCTGTTCATCGTGGACCAGCACGCGGCGGACGAGAAATACAACTTCGAGACGCTGCAGCAGACGACAAAGATAGATTCGCAAAAGCTCTTCCAGTAAGCTCTTTCCCCGCAATGTGCCCATTCATTACCGCTCAATTGAATCCACCCGCGGGTGCACAGCCCCCAGGTGCTGGAACTGACCGCGGCGGACGAACTGGTCGCGCTCGAGAACGTGGACGTGCTGCGCCAAAACGGGTTCGAGCTCGCGGTGTGCGAAGACCGGCCGCCGGGGCAGCGCGTGCAGCTGGAAGCGCGGCCGATTAGTAAGAGCACGGTGTTCGACACTAAAGGTGCGTCCCAACCTTGCTCGCGTGCCTGCTCCGCGCCGCTCAAAGAAGCCCCGCGCAGATCTCGAAGAACTTCTCCACCTCCTCCAGGACTGCCCCGCGGGGCAGATGGTGCGCTGCTCCAAGGCGCGCGCCATGTTCGCGATGCGGGCGTGCAGGATGAGTATCATGATCGGCACGCCGCTGAGTCGGCGACAGATGACGTCGGTACGTTGCGGGCGAGGCTCTCTTGGCCGCACTCTGGCTCCCTGCTTGACCCGACTGACTCGGCTTTATCCGCGCACTTCTAGGTCGTGCAGCACATGGGGACGATGGACCAGCCTTGGCACTGCCCCCACGGAAGACCCACTATGCGCCATCTGTCAGACGTCGCTGGTGCGGGGTGGGAGCGTCGGCGGGGGCGCGCGCGGGACCTTGATTGGGCCGCCTTTGGCCGCGCCGAGGCATAGGCCACTCCTGCGGTTCTGCGGTTCTGCGACGTAACGTGGCGGCTTTCGCGGATACTAGTGTGCGTATAATTGTATTGCTCTATCTTCGTTCAGGTCCCCCAGCCCCCAGCAGCCCGCTTGACTGCGATAGCCCACCACTGCGCAGCTTCCGACAGCGTCCGCAATAGAATCAGAGTAGGATGGCGGGATCTCCGGGGGCTGCGTGTATCCACCACAGGGCGTTGAACTCCGCTGTGTGCAGTGCACAGCGCGATCGATAAGGCCTGGGTCACGATCACCGGTGCGCGCGCATTTGACGAGATCAGTAGATGCACTGAATTGCGCAAGCGGCGTGGACACACCGAAGCAAGTACGAAAGCTTGTAACTCATAAAGGCAACCAAGAAACTCTATGCGGGAATTTGCGTAAAGCGAGCGGGCCGGCGCCGCCTATGTCTTCAGGGTGTGCGCGTCTTGGGTGCCGGACGGCCTCTTGATGTTGGAACACCACCACCTTTCGCTCCGATACCCCCCTACTCGTGTCTACTGCGGTCCTTGTTCTGCTCTTGACATGCCTGGAAATCAGTGAGTGTTTTCGACCGTGAGGGCCACACCGGGCAGCCATCGATCTGGCGAACGAGGATCACGGGCGTACTCTGTACTCCTCCGACCTACAACTTCACCCCCTACCGGTACGTCGAACAACGTGTGCCACGAGTTTCCTTCTCACCGCTCAAGTCAGGGTCGCAGCACCTCCGTCAACGAAGTGCTTGGCATATCGTCCCTGCGCAACTGCTTCCTTTCCATGGGGTCACTTGCTCTGACAAGAAGATGTTGGGGCGGCTGACCAATCATAGACCCGCACCGTGGATAGCTCTCCTATAGGGCGCAGCCGCGGTGGCGCCACTAGCAGGCGACCATGCTCCCACCGAAGCAGACAATTGCGCCCAGAAAGGGCGCACAGGCTCCGGCTTTACGTACCGAGTACATCCTTCGACACCGCGACTGACAGAACACGACTCATCACCATCACCAGACAGTGCGCGAGGACCATCTATGTCACTATTTGGACACGCAGGTCGTCAGTGCGAACGGAGAGCCGCCTTGTGCGCCTCAACCCGCGAGCACCTGACCGCAAGTCCCATAAGGAAGGTGCAGGTGCGGCCCAGTCTCCAGTTACGGCGTAGGAAAGACATTAACACTTCGACCGTGCGCACCGAGGCAACAAAGTACGGTGGCCCGTGGCAATCTCGGTGGCTTCCGTTAACGAGACCCGGAGGCAGTCGAGACGACGAACGGGAATACGTCAACAGAGCGGTCCGTGCTGGGATCTTCCCGACGAGCTGATGCTGCGGCACATGGGAACCGCTCACTGGCAGGGAGTCTACTCGGTGCGAGACTGACAGCAAGGTGAAGTATGTGCTCCAGCATGTGTTCCGAAAGTCAAGAATGACTGATACAATGGTCTACAGGTATACAGAAGCTGCCCCGATGCCTTTACCATCACGTCCGAGATCACCGAACCTCCGGCGTGAAGGCTCTCCCCGCAAGAAGCGTAGCGGAACAGCGATGTCCAACTTGGACCGCTACATACGGCGCAATCGCCTGTCCAAAGAACGTGTTTTTTGACATTGGAGTCACTCCACCGAAGGCAGACTAGACAGTGGAGCGGTGATGTGCAGTCGTTCGCTTTCCTACGACATGCATAACGGACATTATACGAACAGCACTACGGCCAGGACTGTCCGTCACTTGAATGTCAGAAATGCCCTCGAAGCGGCACATGGAAAGAGCATTCCGACACAGCGGGTGCAGTGCCGTTTATTTCGAGACGGCGGGGCGACCGCGTTCTAGCTCGGGGCAAATGCTCCCACACTGCGCAATCCGTGGGCAGCGTATGTCGTCGTACCAATCGCAGCCAATGCCATGTGAGTTCGCGGAGGACGGATTCTTGGCAGTCGCATGTGCAAGCGAGCGCGGGCGGCGGCGGTGCGAGTCGGACGTCTCGCACCGCCGCCGCGACTGACTGCGAACGGTTCCCACAACAGGCACTCTCCTAGAATCAGGTCCGTGGCCATCAGCTGTCGATCGACTCGTCCTGGAGATGCTGCATATTACTTAGGAAGAGGGGTTACTCCTCAGCAGCGCGGCGCTAGGCTTATCAAAGGCGGCCGAGAGTGCATACTGCGCGCGTACCAATCGCTTGGGGACCAATTTGCAGAAGTGACGCACGACCTCGATGATCGCTTTCACAAAGGCGTAAGAGGGAAATCCGCTGAGACCTGTTCCACCATTGCGGTTCAAATGCATCAACCAAAGAAGCCGATTGTTAAAACAATGCTGTACCCCCGCCACATGCAAGTCGCACCTACACGGACATTATGTGGGAAGGGCGGTGCCTGGCCCCTCCGAATGTGTAGTCATGAGGCTGCCAGCGATCTTACATTGACCTTCTGACAACGCGCAGGGCGTTGCTCCGGCCCGTTGAGCTTCTGCGGAGTAGCGACACGACGAGCAAAACTTGGAAGTAGGCGATTCGAAGAGCGAATACGTACTCGCTCAGTCAACTCTATTCGGCCTTAGGGGAGACGTTGTACAGTGATAGCCTCCAATGAGCTCAACGAGTAGCGCAGCCGTGCCCGGACATAGGGTTCGGGAAAGGTAGGATCTCCCCGAAGGCGGAAGCATTGGCAAATTTCATCTTCTTGATCTCCCGCGGCCTTCTCTTCGCTGTACCCGCGGCCAGGCTAGGCACCGTCGTCTTCAGGAAACGCTCTGACTTTCCAGTTCGCGGTGGAAGTTGGAGGGGCGCCGAGGAGCTGGGCGCGTTCGGACGTATTAGTATCCGAATTCTTGCTCGTCGCGGGCGATTGTCGGTCGTCCGGGCAGGAGCTGTCAGGATAGGAGTTGTAGCGAGGGCGTGTCTGTCCCATTCAGGCCTGTCATTCAACGCTCTGAAGGCGCCATGTTGAGGTAAAGAAATGGGACCTATCCTCGACGAGAGAAGGCTAAAACTCTAAGCCCATACAATAGACCAGATACCCTCTGATGAAGGGCGAGACGAGTCTGTGTTGCAAGCTACAGGCAGAGTCCTCGACTGCGAGCATACGCCCTTCGTTCCCAGCATGGGGTGGGAGCTCCGAGAAGTGAGCGACGTCTTCCCGTCCTGGGTGCTCTTGACGTCCAACCTCTTTGCAAGAGGCCTTCGTGTTCTCTTCCCCGCGAACTCCAAAGTATCCTGTTTCACGAACTCGTCATTGATTCGGCTGAAGAACGTAGACGAGTCTGAGAGTGTGGGTCAATGCAACCCCAACGTAACAACAAAAAGCAATTGGTCGTACGAGGATAAGGTGGTCGCGTGTCGCGGGAAAGTTATTAAATAGCAGATCCAGAGAAGACTGATGCTACACAGCACGGGAGGTCCGAGACAGACACCTAACATACAAGACTCCCGATTTCGTTCGCGGGGCATGCCCCAGATCCCATTGTTCGTCACATTGAACCCATGCCCATACACTTCACCGGACTGACACATCACCGCCCATTATAGCGCAAGTCGGAAGCTGTTGAGCGCGCGGCGATCCTCGGAGGTGAGAGGTTTGTAGCTGCTCGGTATACCGCCTGGGGACGTGGGATACATCGGGGATGTGGGCGGAGTGAGATGTGATGCCGGTACCACGGTCGCCAGACGGGGTAGCACGCCGACCGAGTTGTTCGATCGATGGCTCCCGATGGAATACTGAGGTGATCGCATGGCTGTCGACGACGACGATGATGATGAGGATGACAAGGGACGATCCGCGCCGCGTTGTCCGTGCGCGGTAGGGGAAGAGGGGATGGCCCATGGGGCAGGGCTCCAGTCCTGGCAATCCCTACCCGCGTGTGTGGGCTCTTGTTCGTCAGAGTCGTCCAGGGTGCGCCCAAATCGTGCGATGTTCCCCTTCGCGGACGTGAAGATCCCCTCGGGTACGCGCACGTTGCGGAGGTATTCGTAGTTTTCGACGACGGGCAGGCGCGTGTAGTCGTCACCCTGCACGTAATACGGAGCGTTAGCGATGGGGTACCCGACATGACGACGCGCGCGGCGGCATACCGTGAAGTACGCCACGATGTGCCACTTGCGGGGCGGCTCTCCGCGCCGTGTGTGTACGTGCGTCGAGTACGTCTGCTTCGTGAGACCGTCGGGCTTCGAGGGTCTGTCCTGGCGGCGAATGGGAGCGGGGGGCGCCGCGAAGGGGTCGAGCGTCCGCCGCGCGCTGCGATGCACGTCAACCGTGAGAACGTGCATTTCCAGGGTGAGGCGGCGACATACCGACGTGCCGCCTTCGCCTCCTTCTCCTCTGGCGTCGTCTCGATCTTTTCCTCATAGAAGAGGTAGTCGCCGCGCATGCGGCTCTGAGACCTGCGATGATATTAGCATGTGGCGCGAAAATGCGGTTCGAATCGCCGCGCGAGCTCACCAGCGCCGTCCGTCGGTCCACCTCTCGAGCCCGCCTACTCAATTCGACGGAAAACGGAGCGTGGGTGAGTGTGCTTTATTGGCGCAGCGGTGGTGGGCACTCACCTTGCTTGTGTTCCGCTTCTTCCCACACGAAGACGTTCCCTGAGGTGAGCTGTTCACGCTCACTGGCCGTGAGGCGGCGTGTAATAAGAGGCAAAATGCCCAGGCGGACAGCCTCAAAGACGACGTGTGCGTCTCGGGCGTCGCGGAGGTCTGTGGCGTGCGCCAAAAAATGAGCAAGCGGTGGCGATGAGGCGGAAAACGACGACGTACGGAGGGCAGGGTGCGTGGCGTGGCCAAGGTTCTCGACAGGGCGTGCACTGTAGGGGGACGACATGGCGGCGATGGGGTGAGACGAGTGGTACCCAAAACTCCACCGCCGCCGCAACTTTATAGGGCACGGGGAATCCGAAGTCGCCCTTTCCACAGGAACCGAAACGGGAAGGGCGCTCTCGAAACGGAGAAGCCCAGTCTGTTGGAATCGAGGAAGCTCGATATGGTTAAGAGACAAGAACGCGACGAGATCGCATTCAATTGGTAACTTTGACGCGGCGTCTCGCAGAAAGGGACAGGTCTGCGCCCACCACCGCAGATTGTGGCTGTCGCGGTCCCCGGAGGGCCAGGCGTCTGAATAGCGCGATCGGTGGGGCATGTGCGCCATGCTGTCTCCCCGCGGCAAGGAAGTCATCTGCGCATTGACGTCCATGCTCCCTGTTAATCAGATCCGCCCCGGGAGTTAGAGAGATCTGAAGACATACCGACGCTGCCATGTCGCAGTTTGAATTGGACATCCATAACCTTAAATGCGCGCAGATATGGTGCTTTTCCCATGCTCCCACTGGCCCGCGGCCTGTCCGGTTCCCGCATCGGCGGGTGTCGAGTCGTAGCGCTGCGAGTGTGCGCAGGCAGGGGCATCTTCGGGTTCCGGTGTTTCTCCATACGACGCCCCCGCGGGGGAAAAAGCGCATGGATTTGGGCCGCTGCGGGGAAGACGGCAGCGTCATATTAGCACGGCACTGGCGCAGATAGCGGAAACGACCCACAAAGGCTATCACGCCCCGCACGGGTCTATCGAGCCCGGCCGGCGGGGGCTCGGTATCGCCCCTTGTGCCCCTTGCCCGCGCGTCGCGCGGCCGGGCCGTCGATCGACTATCTTCGACTGAATGACATTCAGCGAAGCGACGGGCGTACAAGAACCGGAGCGCGTCGTGGGTCCTGTGTATCCTGGTGGTACCCTGCGGTGTCACATATGCTTCAATGCGCATTCCCAAGCCCGCGCGCGGCATGCCGAGCACGCGCACTGCTATGATGTAGGATGACGACGCTGTAGGAATGCGTTTCGCATCGGCAAGCATCCCTCGGGCGCGGCAGTTGCACGAGTGCGCATCGCGATGTCTGAACCTGACAGCGGCGGCGAGCGAGATTTTGCCGGCGGAAGGCCAGGGCGCCCTAGAGCAAGAGCATGAGCACGCTAGAAGCTCGCTTAGCGAAAATTGACTCACCGCAGTTGCACTCGGCGCGGGGTTGAGCGAGTATTTCCAGAACGCCGGTGAAGTCGATTAAACGGCACTCGGCAACGCAGTGCACTGACTAGGAAATGATGACAGGATGCTGTGTCCCGCGCCGGTGTATCCTTGTTCAATCCGATTAGGCGCAATTCATTGTGACGCGGAGCTTAATTGTGAAGTACGCTCGGTGTACAGGAGTAAGGTTGCCGCGGACATGGTGTGGGACGACGAGCGAGAGGATAGGTAGTGCGGCGACCAAAGCAGACGGAAGAGGGTAACGTTCGTGATCGCAGACGCGACACTTCCCCGAGTACTAGAGGTTAAATGGCGGGGTGACGCAGTCCTGCCTGTCCCTGACAGATCTAATCCGAGCGTGGACGCCGTACGGGCCTGCTATCTAGCGACGACAGTTGCCGATGCATATGTCATGCACTTCGTCGAGCACGGTGAGGAAGAGGGTTGGTGTCGATTGGGAGGATGAACATACCTGATTAAGGGCGATGACGCGATCTAGCGTTCTCCGCTGTCCGCCGTCGGAGAGGGGTGGGTACTACGACCCGCCAAGCAACGCGCAAAGCTTCGTTGTCGTAGCCGAGCGGGGCAGAAGGCTTCTCTACAGCTCTCCGCCCGCAATCGAGGCGGTCAATGCCCTGGCGCCGGCCGTAGTATCCTCAGCGTGTCCGCCGTGGCGCTCCAAAAATTCTAGGTTGGAAAAGAGCCGGCTCGTAGGCGAGTCGTCAGACCACGTGCATAAAAATGACAGTAGAAATCCCAGGGCTGGGATGACGAGAGGGCCAAGGCAGTTTAAGTGGGGTTGGGCGGGGGAGGGAAGGAGGTGCAGCGGACAAGGGACGCCAGCGGTCCCCTCTGTCCGCCATTGGGTTACCCCCCGCCCGGAGATCGGGAGCAGACGTCCCCTGAGAAGATCTGAGGGAACAGGTGTCAGCTGCGCATTAGGTTGAAGCTCAGGCGCGCCGAGGTCGGTGCTACGTGTACGCTACTGCGACACAGCGGCACGGACACGGTAGACTTACCCCGCTAGTCCGGTTTGAGAGGGGGGCGCTGAGGCTTTGCGGCCCGCGCGAGGACCGACGGGAAGGAAAGCGTCCAGCGGAAGATGAACGCGCCGGGATGCGTTCATAGGAAGCGGGATGGGGACGTAGGGCGCAGGGGCGGCTTGACCTCGTGTCCTGCAGGGCGGCCCTCGTGAGCACGAGACCGGGCGCGAGTCTATCAAGGCGCGGTGCATTTACAAGGCCTTCTCACGAGTAGAAATGAGTGAGAGCAACTCTGCGATGAGAGGAAGGCGGCATTTACCTGCACAAGCGCATTCGATGAATGAGAGATCATCGACCCCCATACAGACGGAGTTAACTTGAGCTTGAGCGGCAACGATGATCGTATACGCGTTTTAGGCGTCGCTGCATCGTCGAAGAGACCAAGAGAAGGGATCTGTATGACGGAGGCGGCCGTTGGCAGGGGCGCGCAGGGGCGCAGGGGGAAGAGTCAGCTGCTCGTACAGAATATAGAACGTTGCCGCACCCACCAGAATTTGGAACACCGCCCACTCTCGACGATCGTCTCATGATGGAATTTGTCACATGGGTTAGGACCGATCGCTTGCTCTTGGTGGATACAATATTAGAGAACACGTTCCCATGGATGCGCATCATATCTTGGCTGACCCACAAGCTCTGCGCTCCAAATTGAATGCCGAGCTACAGGTGACAATAAGAGTAAGCCACAGAATGAATGCATCGAGAGGAGAGCACTGTGAAGAGCGGTTGCTCAGGCTTTGTGCAATAAAGCACGACGTCACCAGCGCGCTGAGCGGGTCGCGACGTAGCGTGTGAGCCGACGCTCCGAGCATGGCGGGGATGGAGTTCTTATTACGTGCATAGCGCAGGCTATGGGAAGACGCAGCCATGTGTTGAGGAGACAGGCCTGGGCATAATGGGGTGATACGGTTCAGCGAGAGCAGGGTGAAGGGGAGTGGCGGACTTGCGTTCTTTTTTGGAACGCGTCGCGCTCTCACGTTCGAGAAGCTGCTGACCAACGCTGAAGCATAATCCAGCATCTCCGGATGCCTCATAGGTATGTGCCAGCTGCGATTCGCTGGAGGTTGACCATGATAGGACGACGAGGTGGAGATCCGAGGATCCGCTGTCTGCGAGTCATATGGCAGGTGGTAGAATGGGAGATGCAACGGTCCATATGGCGAGATATTGGGTCGTAGAGCGGACTTCATGATCAGGGGTTCCCTGCCTTGTACAGAGGCCGACGGCTATTTTCTGCGCTGTTGAGACTGGTCGAGAGGGTACGAACGCTGCGTAAGTTCAGGCTAGTGAGCCAAGTGAGCCTGGCACTCCGCAGATGATGAGCAGTCCTGTAGCGTTGGAGGCATTCCTAAAGTCGAACTGCGCAGTTTCCCAGAGCCAAGGAGGAGATAAAGACGGCGATGCCCTGAAGGTGTACCGTCTGCACATTCTTGAACATGGTGGGAAGTCTTCCGCAGCGCAGTTAGACGCCAGAAAGCTCGTGTCCTTATTTGCATCTCTTTGCTCCGCGGAATGGTTGGCGCCCAAGTGCATTTGGGCGCCTGTCATCCTCTCCTCGTAACTCCCATGTGCCTCGTCTTCACACGCTCACGCTCGAGGCTGTCTTTTGCTTCTTTACATCCGCAGAAATCCTCGAGAATATACACGTTAGACTGGTGAGAAGAAAGAAGCATACTGTGCCGACTACTCGTGGCAATATCTCTGCCTCCCTTGCGTCTACGAAGTCTATCTCGTTCGAATGTTCTACTTTGCTACTACGATAGACGACGTATCACTTACTGAACTCCCTACAGGCTCTTGGATTTCATGCTGCATTTGGGCCCCTGAGCGAGCCTCGGAGCTTGTAACGCTTGTGCTGGGAGAAGCCACGATGCTACGGCGGCCATGCGTGCATATCTATAGTCATGCTCCACTCACCCGCTTCTCCCGACCACCAATCGTATCGCTTGCATCCCCCCGCCGCTCAGGCTCCTCGTCGTCTCGGTGTCTATCCCTCAAGAGCGACAGCAGTCGGGTGCAGTCGTCCGCTTTGCGCTCTTCCCCTTCCCACTCAAGGCACACGTGTAACTTTCCAGGTCGAAGTACAGGACGCTCCACAGTTCCACTGCCTCCGACGCGCGACTCGTTGTGCAGGTCCCAGAACGGGACGGCTTCCGCAGTCGACGCTTCCTACCTCTTCACTGTCGTCGCCGCCACGAACCTGAAGGCGCTTCGCTCGACGGATGGTGCAACACGTTGACAAGATCCGGCCCCCTGGTAGGCCACGTGTGTACCGACCTCGTACCGCTTTGTCCCTTGGCACAGCCACGCGCTCCCGCTGCGCCTTCGTTCCCGAGAGGCTTTCTCGGAATACGAGACTGGTCTAGTGGGAGAAGCCCCTGCGCGTGCTTCGCGCTCGCGTCTGGCCGGAGCCCTCGGTTCTGTGCATTACCGGCGGTAGGGTGAAGAAAAATCCCCAGGGTGCGTCATCTACTTCTCGTGTCGTCATCGAGTGCGGCGGGCACGGAAGGGTCGCCCGCCGTCAGTTAAGCTGTTGACTCGGACGCGTTGCGGGCTTCGCCGCCTCGCTACCCATGCAATGCTAAATGGATCGCAGCCTCGTGTGCAAGCGTCCTTCGCTTCGGAGCTGCGTTCTATGTATTACGACCTGGCATCGTGCGCGAACCCTGATTGTGGTAATTGAAGTAGGCTCCGAGAACCAGGAGACCCTGAGCTCATCGATGCACATGATTAGGTCTCTTGCGCTATTGATGTATCCTGGTGAACAGCCGAGCTCTAAGCTCATGCGTTTGCGACGACCTCCGACGATTCGCCTTTCGGCGCTCGGACCATCCTCCGAGGACCTCTTCCCGATTCTTTCGCTGTGGCTTGTGCCCCCGTGCGGCTTGCGACTCGGTGTGGAGCCTGCGTGGATTCAGCCACTCTAATTCCCCTGGCTTCGAGGGCAGCGTACATTATTATGAGAATATTGAGCTAGTTATTTACAGTCGCGGCGATATCAGGAACGCTTGCGCGTGGTCACTGCCGTTGATCGTGCGTAGCGCAGTTCGCCTCATGGGAGGCGTGCCTGGGGATGTTGCTCGTGTGCGTGTACAGAGTGGTACTCGTGGCGGTAGTAGACCAAACGCACGCGCCACAGACTGCGGCTGAGCGCGGCGTACGGATAATTGCGCCAACACACAGTCATGACATCTTATGTGAGTGCTATGTACGGGATTCTCATTGGTGGCAGTTGCTTGTCTGGCTATGCGATGACGTGGACTGCTTAACGCCTGCCCCGTTTCATGGGATTATCACGGTACGACAAACCTGCGGAGCATGCGGTTTTTTTTCAGTACTCCAGTATGCCGTCGGACCATCAGCGTGCCGACGGGTCAATCGGGGGCGGATAGAATGGAACGTTACTGCCCGGGGGCATTTCGGCCTACTGTCGCATTGGCACCTTTGCAAGCACAGGTACTATGAAAATGAAGGCTGCGGCCCGCATATCCTGTGCCGGAGCAAACGGCAGTTGGTACCTCGCTCAGGCCCTGAGATCCGAGGCGCCCTGGCTTCGCCACGTCGACTCAAAAGTGTTCGGTATGACTGGCGGCGTATTTTGGTCACCGACGACCCTACAAAGCTATGAGTATTGTTCATCATGAGAGCATCTCTTTCACTCTCAATTTTCGATAGTGATATCTACTATATAGGCTCGTGTCGCTTCCTTGCTTCAAAATACGACTGAGATTCAGATATCCAGCTAGCATCCAGCTCATATGGTGCGTCGAGTTGTGGTGCCGCAGTGACGACGACTCCCGATCGGAGGCTCTGCCGGTCTCCTTCTCGCAGCATCATGCGAGGGACAGGCGTGCGCGCGGCACTGCTGAGGGCCACGGGGGCGCGGAAAGGTGGCTTCCCCGCTATGGAAGCTGGAGCACGAAGTCCCTGATGTAGCTGTTTCGGGCGTACGAGCACGGGGGCGCAGTGCACCCTACAGCGGGGCGGATCATATCCTGAGAGGCATGAGCCTTCGCGCAGTAGCGTAGAATATCGATGGGGAGGAACATGACCCGCACGCGGAGGCTTCACTTCGGCGTAACCAGCTTTTGATGCCCAAAAAGGATACCTCAGAAGCTGGGGGTGCGTGCCGCCTCGCCGTTGATTGGCACGGAAAGAAGAGCAGTGGAGCGTAACAGACAATCAGAGGTGTCCTCGGCTGACGATCCCCCGCGCGGCCCAAGGAGACTCCTAGTGGTAACATACTGTCTATAGCGCTTCTTGCAATACGATGGAGGGCGAGGCATCTCGATGCTGCCGAGTGGCGGCCCGTTGTCCTCCGTCCTCCGACGAGCAAGTGCACGTCGCGCGCTGCTGCTAACAGAGTTAATTTGCGTTGCATATTGCTCGCGTCATAGACTTGTGCCGCAGCTGCCTCCGCGTGCCAGTGGCGTGCAAGATCGACAAGTGGAGGTGTCGTAGATCCGCCGCATTCGAGTCGTCCCGGCGGCATGTTGAGACACGCAAAGCTTGCCGCCGGCATTTCAATTCGGGGTTTAAGAGCCCGGTCGTACTGGGCTGCTCGCGCGGACACAAACGGGATGTGGGGGCGGGCTCGATCAAAACTGAGAACGAGAAAGTGGCTGACGAATAGGATGGTGATCGAGCCTGGTTGAGTCGCCGACGGCTGATCGAGATGCATCTCGTCGAGATCTGGGTGCAAGCACCGGCGGAATGGCGAGTCTATAGAGGATATCGTGAATGAGTGACTGTGGACCGCGTGGAGGCGCGAATCCCCAGGTGATATACGACCGCGTGTTGCTGTAGGTGTTCAGAGGAGTGAACAAAGACTGTGTATGGACGCAGGTATTGATGAATATCCGTACTAGGTGGACATCCTGAGGACATTCGCCGGAGAACATCGGAATATTTTGCACTAGTACTAGCGGGCCGGACATAAATTGGCCGAGTAAATCGTCGTACTAGTGACTCAGACACTGCGCTCTCCGTAGAATGCCGGAGAGAACTGAGGCAAAGAGTGTTTCAAGCTACTCGAGCTAACGTTGCCATCCAAAGAGTCCACGGAACCTCCGATCGGGGAGAGAATTGCGGCTCGCGATTGGTGGGCGCAACGGGCCCGACTGAAGCCATAGGGGTATGGCATGCCGTCGGCTTGTACCAGGTCACCGCCGTTCGATCGAGGCCGAAGACGTGCGCACAGAATCGACGAACCTGTCAAACAATATATGCGGATAGCAATGAGGGCATGCGTGTTGGGTCTGGAAGAAGACGTCTTGTTGACAAGTTCGCATGGCAGGGCCCACAAAAGGTCATAACGGTTGTGGAGAATATTGATTATAATTCGAATATGGCTACAGTAATTCACAACGGACGAGTCGCGAGGCGCGATTGTCGCGTACGGTGTACAGGGGCGGTCTCCACGAGAAGGGGTTGCAAAAATGTGTGTATGTACGGGACTGTTGATGTTGCTGTAAGTACGAGGCTGATGCTATAATGCGACGACAACGATCCAAGTCCGCTCTCCGCCCTCGCGGGCCCGGAGGTTGATGTCATAAATGTAACGAGTGTCCGATGTTAAACAAGATGGCGCGTAGTGTGTAGATGTGTGCGGGGCCGCGGGATATGTGGTGAATGCAAGATTGCGAATGCGAAGGGTGGGGGGAGAAAATAACGAGGGTGGGTGCGCGTGGCGGGGGCTATAGCGATGTCGGCTCGGCCTGGTCCGGCTTGAAGCGGAGACGCGCGAGGAGCACGGACTCCCACTTGCCGTTGTTCCCGTAATTGGAGATGTTGCGCGCCCACTGGGGGTTCCCGATCGGCTCGTCGTAGCTCGGCCCGCCGAGGAAGGACGACGAGAGGTCGAACGAGAACGAGAACTCACCCCACGGCTGACCGGTGCGCGCCGCGGAGAACACGTTGAAGTCCACCTGCCCGTCTGGGTGCTCGTGGCTCACGAAGAGCGCATAGTCCTGCGCCTCTAGTGTCCCTATGACTGTGGCGTCGAGGTCAGCTATGACACAGCACGAAGTAAGAAAGACGCTTACCGAGGTAGATGTCCTCTTTTGATATGTGGTGCTCAGCCCCATACATGGCGAGGATGTGGTCGATGTTCGCCTTGAACCACTTCTTCGGCGTCGACAAGTCATCGATGTACCGGTAGTTGGTCGACTCCGTGAACAGGTGGGCGGTCTTGTGACCCGCGCGCAGCGGCGAGGAGTAGCGTCGTCTGAAACCAGATGTGTCAGAACCCGCATCACAAAGTCGAATAGTCCAAATACTTACGAGTACTTATCGCCCTTGCTGCGAGTCGAAGTCAGCCAGGACTGGATGATGTCCATCCCGCGCTGGGCGACGTTCCGCTTGTCCTGCCGCTGGACCCCCTGGTTCACGCGCCCGTAGCCGTACAGCGACGGGATGTCCTTCGCCCGGTCGTCCGACGACTTGGCGGGGTCGAACGAGTTGAAGAGCGTCACAAATTCGCCCCCTGACGCCTTGTTGTGATAGCCAACAGCGCCGATCGGAACTTGGGACGGCTGCCAGAGCGGCAAGGTAACTACACGGCGGTCAATATATGGCGCCAAGCCGTCATATGGGAAGAGGACTTACGAGATGGGTGGAACTCGTGCTGGAGGAGCATCCGGTACCGGCGCTCGTTCCGCGAAATCTCCGCCTGCTCGTCCGGTGGCGGCGGCGAGACGTGACGTGGGAACATGATGTGTTCCGAGTGCCCGTCATGTAAAGACGACGACGCGCGGCTGCTCGTATGGCTCCGGTCGATGTTGAAAGGATCGGGGGCGTCGTGCTCATCGTCCGTGACAGACTGCATAGTGGTCGACGTGGAGAACTCGCCGACCGCCGTACGGTAGGACGTGTCCGCAGAGGGAATAGTGTCTTCTTCGATGAAGGAAGCGGTAGTGTCCGCTATATATGGCGTGTTAGATGAGCCCTTCGGCTACGAGACGCAAGAAACTCACGAGGGAGGAGAGGGAGCGGAATCGGGTGCATATCTGGCGACTTGCGCGAGCGCATGTCCTCGAGCTCTATGCGACGGGCAGGGATGGGCGACTCCTTGATGTCCGATCCAAACCGGGCGCGCAGCGCCTGGACGTCGTGGTCGATCTTCATGAAGGGCGGGCGCACCGACGGATCGCGGTGCCAGCACGAGTGCAGGATCTCAGAAAGTTGCGTGGACCACAGGCGCTGCAGAGGCGGCTCCGGACGCATGTCCTCGCCTGTATGAATAGGCTTGAGCACTGGTGGTCGTAGAGATGGAGAGAAGAAAACTTACGGAGGACAAAGTGACGCACAGCGTCGTCGTCGGCCATCGCCCATGGCAGCGCGCCCTTGGTCAAGAGCTCAACACAAGTGATCGCGAACGCGTACACGTCGATCTGCTGGGTGAGGTCGCTCAGACCGGACATCAGTTCCGGGGCCTGCCAACGCAGCGTTCCGTCTGTCACGGATGGGTGAGAAAGGGCGAGGAAATGACCTAAATGGGAGAGTACTTACGAGGGAGGGGCATGCCGCTGATCCGGTACGCCTCAGACTTCATCTCGCTCTGACCGAAGTCGGAGATGATGCAGTGGCCCTTGTCGTCGACGAGCACGTTCGCGGCCTGTTGCACAGGTTAATGTTAATTGATATACATATTATCCAAGTCAGGAATAAGGAACGCACCTTGAGGTCTCCGTGCAAGATACCCCGCCCGTGAAGATACGCCATGCCCTTCGCGATCTGGTGGATCATCTTGAGGAGGTCCACACCGTCAAGCGAGGGCAGGCCCTTGAGGTACGTGACCAGGCTCCCGTTGCGGTAGTACGGGCTCACGAAGAACCACGGCGGGTCGCTCGATGCCGAAGACGCGCCGAGGAGCTCGAGCACGTTCGGGTGCTGCAGCGTCTTCCAGATCGACACCTGCATCGGGGAATATCGATTAGCATTCAATTCATTGCGAAAATTCCGGCGGTCTGGCAATAGAGTCCCACGAATGAATGTCTACGTCGATCAGCGGGGCGCGACATACAGTGTCGGCCCCCCGACACTCAGCATGTCAGATTGCCGACATATCCAAGGCCCGAAGACCGCGATGAATGTATACCGGCAACTCACGTCAGATCGCGACACAAGTGACGAAAATCCCCGATGCCGAGAACCCGATGCAAGATAGACATTAGACTGACCTCATGCACGAACAGCTGCCGCGGCGTCGTCTCCGCGAGCACCTTGATCGCGACGGTGCGCCCGCGCCACGTGCCCTTGTACACGTCCGAGAAGAAGCCCAGCCCGATCTTCTCCTCCCGGTCGACCTCGTACCGCGTGATCGTCCAGCTCGGCAGCGTCACCTCCCCGCTCCCGCTCAGTCGCCGCAGCGCGTCGATCCCCGTCTCCATGAACTCGCGGTCGAGGGTGTCGCGTGGGGGAAGGGAGGAGCCGGCGCGCGAACGATTGCTGTTCGAGGACGACGTCTGGCTCGAACCTGTGCTGACGACGGTTGCGGACCGCTTGAGGTTCGTCGTCTCACCTGGGGCCGTAGTGGTGACTTCGGCGGCGGCGGTCGTGACAATGACGACCTCCTGCTCTTCAGCTGCGGTGCGCTCACGCTCGCACTCGATCTCGAGCGCACGCTGGAGCGTCTTGATGGCTTCGGGCATCTCGTCGCGGCCGACCTGGAGGATGCGAATCATCTCGACATCGTTGTTAGTCTGCAGTGCCGCGCGCATGAGCTGGCGCAGGTCGTCCGCGTCGTACACCATGTCGCGCTCGTTCTGACGCGCGGTGACAGCCTGCAACGTCGCGAGCACGTGTTCCGTGCCCTCCGCAGGCGCGGGGTCGGTGCCGGTGAGCTGGAGCATGTTCATCGGCGAGGAGGACGTCGGCGAGTCGTGGTGCATCGAGTGAGTAATGGTGTCGAGCAGCGCGGCCGACTCGGCCCGGCGCTGCTCCTCCGCTCGCAGGACCTGCTTCAGGATACGGATCTGGATGGAGAGCTGAAAGGCGGTAATTGAGCATGCGAGTATGTGCGCGCTTGTAGGGAGCTTACGCTGAACATGCCGAGCGCGTCGCTGAGGCTGTTGTGACAGCCAACCAGTGCCCGCTGGATCTCATCGCGCTGGAGGTACCGCTTGATGAATGGCCGATGTGACTGCTTGACAAGGAACCGGTGAACCTCGCGGAAGGACCTGAAACAAGGTCAACAACACTGCGTATTGCGGAGACACGAGGACACGTACTCGATTAAACGAGTCACGGGCGCCTGGAGCTCCGCGCCGACCTCGTCGCCCGCCTCGGCGATGTCCTCGCGTACGGACATGAGAATGGTAGCGCATCGTTCAGTCAGACGCAAGCACGCTAAACGGTTGATCTACAGAGAATCAAATGAGTGGGGCATCACGGTGGCGATGACATGAACACGCACATCGACAAGTTGCAGGGAATCCCAGATGTTGAGTAGCGTCCGGGCTGCCTCCTCGAGACCAACGATGGGAGCGAAGCGCAGGATGTCCACGCTGACTTCGAGCAGCTCGTGCATGACCTCGCCGGTCGTGCCTAGCACGTTGGCAGCAGCTTCCGCTACACGCTGAGGAGACGGTGAGCAGATGTCTTATGATAAACGCGAATAGGACGTACCTCTCGAGTCCGAACCCAGCCCTCCGCTTGCTCAGTAGGGATCGTGCGCTGCTTCCGCTCCTCCCATGGCCTAGGGATGACCTCCCGCTTCGTCCACCAGCTGGTGCTCTCACCATTCGGAGGGGTAGGAGCCTCGCGGGATGAGCTTCTCCAGATGGCGGAGAAGTCGTGGAACGGGCTGGTGGAACGCCCGCGATGTACGACAGACGACGCGCGGCTGCGCGAGCGGAAGGTTGACGCTGGCGTGCTCGCCGGGATGGGGTTGGAGACGACGCGAGTAACATGAAGAGCGTTCACAGAGGGAATCGATGGGGGGCGGATGGTAGAGACCGACGAGCCGCGCTGGCGTACGGTTGACGTGGACTGAGACGCCGGGGTTGCGTACCTCGGACTGGGGGATCCGGAAGACTCCCCGGATGGCAGCGGCGAGGACTTGTGCGAGGGGGAGGCAGACGGGTTGAGTGGTGAAGGCACTTTGACTGCAGAGTGGGTGCTCGAGTCGGAGGAGGTGTGGGAGATGGGTGGAGGGGAGGGTAGAGGGGACGAGCCCGACTTGGGGGACGACTTCGGTGACGACTTCGAACGCGAGGACATGGTGGACAGACTTGGAAGCAAAAGCTGTTCGCGGGAGTCGAAATGAGAGAGCAGTGATGGGATGAAAACGTCGCATCGTACTCACGGCGGGTTATATAGACCTGAACGGAAAAGGAAAGTTGGGAGGAGGAGAGGACGGAGGGAAATGAGTGTTCCGCGGAAGCAGCGGGGTGAGATCCCGGACGTCGATCTACCGCGCGCTCTCCGATCGCTGTCGTCGTCCCCAACCCAGTCCAGCCTGTCCAGGGTATGCAAGATCTCCGCGTGCGGGGTATCCAGATGAGCGAGAAATGAACGAGAAAGAGGGGGAAGGGCAAGGAGCATCTCTCCCGGTGCAGCCATGTGCGGTCACTTCACACTTCTTCTTCCCACGCCACGACGGGGGGTATTCGCGCCAAGGGCAACCCCAATTAGGCAAGCAGTGCTGTTTATTCCTCAAAAGCTGTGCTGCGTATGTTCAAACCTTCACTGCGACCAGGCCTAACACCGCCCGAGCGGTTTCGCAGCTACAAGCTGTTGTTTCACCTGTCTTACTAGTCAAATCAACTCTATGGATTACATACTACTTGCTACTAATCCGACCGATCGCGTACTCCTCTCCGGTGTCCTACCGCCCGGCGACTCAGTAGCTCTTCGCCCTCCCCGCACTCCTCGCAGAGCCTCCAATCCCTTCCATCGATGCTACGAAGGCGCTATTCCAAAATGATCCACCAATCCCGCCGGTAACGATCAGGATCGAGACCGCTGCAGATCTGTGCCGTATTGAGATCTGGCCCGCCCTCGAGCATGCAAACTTGCTGGCGGGGCGTCTGGTGCACACCGCACGCACGCGCCTGCTCGCTGTGACCCGCGCGCTACAAGGCGTTCTTTTTGACAGGTCGCGCGATTCCGCGCGTACTTTCTCCCGCGCGATCGAACGGCGGTGACCTTCTACAAGCCGACGGTATAGAAAACCCCTATTCACGCAGTCGGGCCCGCAACGTGAACCAATGGCAAGCGGATAATATCGCCGACCGGACGTTCGATGGACGCCTTCTATGGTAACACTGGAATGAGGGGCCACGTAGTCCTGCCTTTCACTTCTCTCCGGCGTTCTACGGAGAGCGCTGCTCTGACTCGTCTCAAACGCGTGAGTCACGAGGTCAGTCAGAGCTGTCGTTCAGTAGCCTCGTTTCCAACTACCCCGATATTCTGCGGCGAACCCGGTCAAAACGTCCACAAAGGACGGCAACGGTTTGGATAGTTACATTCCATATGACTGCGTGCATCCACCAACTCTCCTCAGTATGACCACAAATGTACGTTGAACTCTCGCAGCACGCAGTCATCTATATTCTGCCCTGTCAAAGGACTCACATCTCCACGCGGTACCCTTACAATGTAACCTAGAACACTCCCCTTTCAGCCTACAGAGCTGCTCGAGCGCACCATCCCGCCGGTGCGTGCGCCCCCGTCCCGACGCGGTGGCGGCACAGCCGATGCATCTCGATCAGCCGTCGGCCACCCACCGACTGGCTGGGCCCGATCACTATCCCATTCGTCAACCAGTTTTCTGGAGTCGAGTTTCTCAAGTTTTGATCGAGCCCGCCCCACATCCCGTCTGCGTCCGCCCACGCAGGCCAGGATGCTGCGACTCAGACCGGACTGTTGAAGCCCGGGTTTGAATGCCGGCGGCAGGTTTGGTGGGGGTCGATAGTATGCCGGCGGGACGATGCAGGCCACGCAGATCTACGACATCTCCTCTAGCCGATCATGGACGTCACTACTGGCGGACGGAGACGGAGGCTGGCACACAATCATGAGCCGCGGCGCGGGCAATTTGCGACGCGCCAGTTCGTACGCGCGACGTGTATTCAGTCGTCGGAGGACGGAGGGCGCGCTGCCACTCGGAGTCGTCGGCCTCCATCTCGCAATGCAAGAAGCGCAGACTAAGGCAGTAGGCTGGCAGTGGCCACCTCGCACCGCGGAGGACCGTCGGCCGACGGCGTGTGGCGCCTCCCCATAGCCTTCCGTCCGTTCTAATCAACGTCGGTGGTGGCACGCAGCCCAAAGCTCGAGGTGTCCTATTTGAGCGTTGTAAGCGGATTATATTGCGACTTTGGCAGCGAGTGCTGTACTATGTACCGAGCGAAGTGTGCTAGAGATGCGGTACGCTAACGCGTGAAGAGAGCGCATTGGGTTCCGCCCGACGATATATTCACCGGCATACGGAGCGGCGCACCGTGCTGCGCCCGCATGCCCGAAGCAGCCATGAAGAGCGGTGAACGCTTGCAGCCTGCTTCCATAGCGAGGAAGCAGCCTCTCTAGTGCGCTGTTGCCGAGCGCCATGCACATGCCTGTTCCTCAGTGCGTGGTGCTGCGAGATCGGCAGAGCCTCTGATCGAGAATCGGCGTCATTGCAAGCACCACACCTTGACTCCGAGCCGCCACAGCACGACTCGGAGGCTAGCAGGATATCTGAAGCGAGGGCGCGGTCAGCTTACACGAGCTCCAGTGCCATGGATGCAGCCTATTCCGCCGAACGTTAAACCACCAGAAGGAAGCAGCGACGTCCTGCGGAAGCTTGGTGTTCACAGCTTTATGCGGGTGGCCAGACGAAGATATCAGTCAAACTCAATGCTTAATCGGAGTCAACGTGGCAGGGCTAGGGCACCTCGGGCCCAGGGCTCGAGTGAGATCCGGCTCGTATCCTCCGCGATAGAGCTGCGGGCCGAAGTTGCCATTATCACGGTCCTCGTACTCGCATAGGCTCCGCAGGCCGAAGTGACTGTGTTCGGAGACGTCCTTGCACAGCAACTAGCAGCGTTCCATTCTGTCCGCACCCAGGTTCTCCCACCGGAACACGCTTGACCTGCATGTTCCACTTGTTCGCTGCATAACGGGAAGAAACAGCTATAAGGTGAGGAGTGCGAGGAATGCGAGGAGAGGCAGAAACCCCATACCGCAGCCGTTCTTCAGATATTTCCCACACGGGAGCACGTAGATCGTTGTATAACGCAGCTTTGCATACCGTAATGACTTCTGTAGTCCATATGCGCAGCGATCGCATACCAAGTTGCCCCAACTACGTTTGGGGGCAGATATCCGGACGTTACACTCTACAGCGCATGCCGCAGTGTGGCGTGTACGTCTGACCTATGGCCATGAGGAGCAGATGTCTTGGGTGCAATGACTCTCCCCAGTGACGCAGAGGAGAGACGTCCCCCGCATCCTGCCAGACTGCGAGGATTGAGATGGGTACGTACCAGATTGCCCAACTGCGAGGATGTGCGGTCGGCGAAGTTGGCCGGCGGCGGACTTGTCGGACGCACCGTACTTGCTGTGGAAGAGCACGCTCGCGTGCCGAGATCGTGTATTGGTTCTTGATGAGGACTAAAAGGCAAATCTTGGAGCAGTTGTATCATCAGTAAGTACTTGTCGACAACAAGCACAGTCACTGGCAGGACAGCAAGCCAGAGCAGCGCAAAGGACGCAGGCGCCTGCCCTGAAGCATCTCGGTCACATGATTGTGCCCACGCGATACCCACGCGATACCCACGCGATACCCACGCGACACGACGTCTCTGCGTCCCGCGCCAAATTGGCCCCCCTAAACTCTTTTCGTGCATCTTTTGGTCCGCGTCCATGAGGTCGTGCGTGACATGCTGCTTGGTCCTCACTGCGAACCAAGACGCACGGGTTAAACTCACTGGGCTGGACTCTATTTCTTTCTTGTCTTGCTAGCACGATTGGCAAAGTAGTGACGGAATGACCGCAACTCGGCGCAGACTCAGAGGCGACGATAGCAAAGTTGTTATATGCAGCGTCGACTACTACGATCTACAAAAAAAATCATGCAAGTGTCGCATTGTAACGGTGGGTGATATCCAGGACCATTGCTTATGTCTCAGTCTAGCAGCGACTTCCGTGGCGCCGGGCGACAGTCCGAGTCAACTGGAACACGCTGACGCGATGATTCGTCAGTGGCCAATGCGACTTGATAGGTATGTGCCATCGAAGGCTTTGCGGCCCATGCACCTTGCACTTTGAACACGCGTTTGACGCTTGGTAGCGATGTGGCAGACCAATGCGGTCCAAGCGGCAATTCGCACAGACTAGTCTCGGGCCAATTCCAACGAGAAAATGTGCCAAGGGAACCTAATCGACCCGTCCTCTCTCTTGCTCGTGTCTAGGTATAGCGACACCGCTCTACATAGATCCTGACGCCTTGACCTGCTCTCGACGCCGCCGCTACCTCTGTTTCTAACGCTTTGTCCCTCTCTGCCCTGGGGATATATAGTCGCTTGCTGGAGATGGGTTTCTGTATTCTGATAGCTACTGGCAACTCCTCTCCGCCACGCGCTCCCTTCTCGATTTCTTCGTCACTCTCAGCCAGCTACCAGCAACATGGACGCGCAACCTTACCGACCCCTCTCCGGGCAACACGGCGTCGAGCGCGTACCGTACGAACCGTTTTGTTGCGCGTCGGACAAGGCACGCATCCGCAAAGCCATCACCTTTACGATGCGCACCGAGAACGGGATATCTCCGCGCCCGCCGACGATAATTGACTCCATCTTTGGCGACCACAAGTATGTCCGCGAGGGCATGCTAAACCCTGGCATCGACGAGATCGCTCGTGTGGTGGGTGGAACCCCGCTGACAATTCAGCTGCTCATTAGGGTGAGTAGTCGCCGTATTCTCCTGGAATGTGGACTGTAGCTGAAATTGAACGGGCTGCAGTGGCCCGGGTTCCCTGAGCGCTACTTTGAGATCACTATGCCTACGGAGCCGCCTGAAGCGGATTCGCGCGCAGAGCTGCACTACCGCATCGGCGGCGCGTACACGCAGTACTTCAATGTGAGTACTCCTGGTACTTCTACGGAGGGAGACACGGTCTGACACTTGAATTTTGGGCTGCCAGGCAGCCACAGACGAGAATTGGCAGTCGACGGAACCGGACTGGGACATGGGGTCTCCGCGGACCGATGTAAGGATGCTCACGGTGGTCGCGCTGTGGCATTGTGGCGGGGATGTCTTCCAGGCGGATGTCGACTGCCACGAGGCGTTCCCAATGGCGCCCATGGTCTGGAACTGAGCGACTGCTAATTTGTAGCTGTTCAATGACGTGGTCTTACAGCGTGTCTCGGACGAAGTAGTCGGTCGGCGTAGATATGTATGATCAATGCATTCCAACCATCCCTAGATGGTTACTTATCCTCTTAATCGACAGCCGCCTTCGCCGTATACAAGTCCTACAGCTTAGCCGAGTGAGAAGCATAACGGACAATTCCGTGTACGGGGCTTGGTCCGCTGTATGCCGTTACCGCACGCGGGACGTGCGTGCAGAAGAGTGCGCACCAGTTGATGGCCTTGAACCGTCCTCTCGGTGGCCGTACTGGTCCGTCTGTGCTAGACATGCTCACGGAACGAACCGACCATGGCCAGTAGTATATGTCATACATCATATGGGACGATGCGTAAACGGTATGATAGATTTAGATCGTATGCGCGCATGCCAATGGCGACTGACAGGGGCAGGCCATCAGCTCATGCACGAAAGAGTATTAGCTGCGGCGAGTTCACATTTTCTCCCTCCGCTCTGTTTACGCTTTCTTTACAGCCGTCCGCAGACTCGGACATTGGGATCCGAGTCCTGTGCGGCGCCATCAGAGAGCTGCTGGGAGTCCTGGTGAGTGAGTGCACGCGACGATTCGCTGACCAACTCTGCCCATTTGAGACTGCGCCACCATCCGTCTTGTTGCCGCTGCGGCACATCCAGATGTGTCTGTACCTGTCTTCGTGGCCAGCTGTCTGAGCGACACCGCCCAAGCACCTCGCACAACCACGCCGGGCGGCGCGCCACGCGATCTGTCATGCCGCAACGACCAGGCTCTCGCCTCCTAGTCGACGGAGGATTCTCTTGGCATCGCATCCTCTATCCTTCTGGGTCCTCATGCTTTGGCCTGTCATAGTGCCGACTGCGCTACCCGCCTGTCCGCATTGCCTGCCGCATTGATAATGTCTGCTCTGGAGGCATATAACGGCTCGCAGACCGTGGAGTAGCGTCGTTCCAGCAACATCGTATTTCTGTACGCTGACTATACTCTCGCCGGCTCCCCAGCACGATCTCCTCAGAGCTTCTTACTTCCCCGCCATCTACCGCCAAAATTGCCAAACCGAATGGACATCAACAGACTGATCCACCCTGTTCCGCTGTATTGCGTCCCCAAGCGTGTACCGGGCGGTCCTGGCGACTACTATAAATTGGAACAGAACGGTCTCGCCCGAATGTGGAAAGGGCCATTCACATTCTATCTATCCGACCGTCATAACGTGAACGCGCCACCGCTGCGCCCGCCCAGCATGTACATACAAGGCAATATTCGGCACAATGCGCGACTTCCGCGAGATCGAAAAAACAATGCTACCCCACAAGGTCGACGACCTTATCCAGCGCAACAGCAATGGGAACCGGATCAAGCTAGTCATCAATGTACGTCGCCCCCGATATTTTGTGGGGTTAGGGAACAGTATAACTGAGCAATCTGGGTGCGGGGCCTACTAGTGGCCCGGTCACCCGTCTTCCACAGGACACTGGATCAATTTGACCAAGCGGGTTGATCACAAAGAGGAGTGGTTATCGCGTGCAGAGCTGCACCTCCGGGTCTGCCAAACGTACAGACAGTATTTCCTGGTGCGTACGCCCAGGAGTGTGCTTTCGTAGCAAAGACCGGGTCTGACGCGCCTTTGTGGGACATCCAGGACATTAGAACTAGTGGCGTGGAGTCGACGGAACCGGACTGGGCTGTGTCGTCGTCGCGCACGGACCTGAGGCGGCTTTACGTGACTGCGCTGTGGTTCTGTGGCGAGAATATCTTCCACGCTGACGTCGACTACGACGTGTTCTTTCCCGGACCCGCGTGATTGGTGCTCAAGTTGAGGAACCAGTACGAATTCAGCACTAGACGAAGTTATCTGTGAATCATGTACTAGTATTTCGCTCCTTTTATAATTCATGCTCATACGCCTTCAGGTAGCAAATCGTTCGGATAGCACATGCACGCCCGCCGACTGGAAGTGTTAACGACTTCGTCTGCCTGATAGTGCACATGAATACACACACAATGACTCTTTCCGTTTACGCATGCAAACGGTTTCCTCCGAATTCTGCACGACAGCCAGAATTAAGATAGTAGAAGCGCACCAGATTGTTCAATTCCTAAGGTATGCGGCCGGCGAAATGGTTGGCCGGCGACGCTGACTGGTCGGATGCGACGTGCTGCTTGCTGTCGAGCGCAAAAAAACACGCGCGCATGTGCCCAGTTTGTGCATTCGTTATTGATCAGGAGTATTAGTCAAATTTTGGAGCACTGTTTGTATCGGTAGACTAAGAGACGTCGACGACAAGCGCAGTGGCAGGAGGAGAGCAAGCCAGGAGGCGCCGGCGCTGTGTGCATTTCGGCCACATGACCAGTACCCACGCGATACCCACGCGACATCACCCGGCCGCGTCCGGCGCCGAGTTCGCTCTCTTCCTTCGAGTCCGCGTTCATCTTAACGTCCACGACGTCGCGCGAGAGAGGCTGCCACTTGTCCACCTCACCGTTCTCCTCGAACAATGACACAGGGTTTGGGTTTGCAAGGTTTGAATCTACGGTTTGACTCCGCTTTTCTTACGCTTGTCTATCTTGTCAGCACCATCGCATAGTGTCGAAATGACTGACACTCGGCGGCGACGATAGCATTGCTACATGCGTCATCGACTATTACGATTGCCAGAAAAACACTATGCAAGCACCACATTGTAGCGGTGAGTGATATATGAGTTCGCACCATCTATTTGTTGTCAACTATAGTCTATTCAGTCTAGCAGGGACTGCCGCGGCGCCGGGCAACAGTCCGAGTCAACTCGAACAAGCTGACGCGATGATTCGTCGGTGGCCAATGCGGCTCGTATCAGTATGTGCCGTCGACCGCTTTGTGGATAATGCGGACCATGCGCCTTGCGCTTTGACCACGCGTTTGACTGGTAGTGTTGTGGCGGACCAATGCGGTCAAAGCGGCAATTCGCAGAGACTCATCCCGGGCCAAATCCACCGAGCGTATGTTCAAAGAAAAATTGAATCCACTCGTTCTCTCTTTTGCTAGCGGCCACTTCTCGTCTCTCTAGGGTACCAGCATCTCTTTGCATTGATCCTGGCGCATCGACCTGCTCCCGACGCCGCCGCCACCTCTCTGTTTGGACCACCTACTGCTTTGTCCATCTCTACCCTCGGGGTATATAACCGCTTGTCAGACATGGGGTATCGTATTCTGATAGCTACTGGCAACTCCTCTGCGCCACGAAATCTAGTCGCCCTTCCCTCTCTCGTCGCTCTCAATCAACTACTAGCAACATGGACGCGCAATCTTATCAACCTCTCTCCGGGCAGCACGGCGTTGAACGTGTACCGTACGAGCCATTTCGTTCCGCGTCGGACAAGAGCCGCATCCGCGAGGCGATCTCCTTTACGATGCGCACTGAGAACGGCGTAAATCCGCGCCCGCCGACGATAGTAGACTCCATCTTTGGCGATCAGAAGTATGTCCGCGAGAGCATGCTACACCCCCGCATCGACGAGATCGCCCGTGTGGTGGGTGAAACACCTCTAAGGATTCAGCTGCTCATCAGGGTGAGTCGCCGCCGCCGTATCCCTCATGAGTTGTGGATCGTAGCTGAACTTGAGCTGGCTGCAGTGGCCCGGGTACCCGGAGCGTTACTACGATATCATCATGCCAACAGATCCGCTTAGACAAGATTCGCGCGCAGAGCTGCACTACCGCATCGGGGGTGCGTACGCGCAATTCTTCAACGTAAGTACTCCTGGTGCTTATACGGCGTGAGACGCGGTCTGACGCTTAATCTTTTGGGCTGCTAGGATGCCACGGACGAAAACTGGCAGTCGACGGAACCGGACTGGGACATGGGGTCTCCGCGGACCGATCTGAGGCTGCTCACGGTGGTCGCGCTGTGGCACTGCGGTGGTGATGTCTTCCAGGCGGATGTCGACTTCCATGAGGCGTTCCCGATGGCACCGATGGTCTGGAACTAAGCAGCCTAAAAAAATACAGTGTTCGATGATACGGTATTGCTGCGCGTCGAGGACGAAGCAATAGATGTGTATATGCATGATTAATGTATTTCAGCCATTTCGAGCCAATCATCGCCTTATTCGACAACCGCCTGAGCCGCATACAGGTCCTGTAGCTTAAGTGAGTCAGATGCACAAGAGACGTTGCCAAGAACGGGGCTCGGGCCACTGTATGCCGTTACAGCACGCGGAACGTGCGCGCAGAAGAGCGCGCACTAATGGCCCTGAACCGTCCTCTCCGAGTCTGCGGCGGTACTGAACTGTGCCGGCCGCGCGCAAGGAAAGAAGCCAACCAGTGGTATGCGTCATACACCAGACGGGACAACCCTGAGCTCTGTGCGTAAACAATTTTGACTGAAATACTCTGTGTATACACCAATGCCGAATGAAAGTCGAGCATGATCACGATATGAGATGGGACGTGCGCCGGCGGGCTTACTTCGCATCCGGGTCCTTGCGCGAATCTTGCGAGCCGAGGTCGCTCACAAGCGTATCGTTACTTCCAGAAGCAACCTCTACGAGGTTCGGGGGCTCGTCCGCGAAACCGATTTTGGTCCAATCTGGCCAGACCGTGGCGACTGCAAGGACGTCAGCGGGGATAAACGCAGGTCGTGTGACACATACGGCCATTCTCGACTTGGATGTGTGGCTTGCGCGCCCTGAGAGCGGACGGGATGTCTTCAGGGATGTGTCCTTTGAAATCCTAGAATGAGATACTCGTGAGTCTGAGCCGCTGGTAGGTGGAAAATCGGAACGTGGTAAGGGGATACGGACGTGAAATATCGCGTAGAGGTCCGTGTCGGACGCTATCGCGATTCTGGCATTCAAGAACGAGGTGTGCTTCGTACGCGTGCGCATTAGAAACGTACATGCACAGAGGCAAAAACAGAGGAGACTTACACTGAGCATGTATTCTAGCAAATACTCCACTGGGTCGGGCACCTGGGGGACGGAAGTTCAGTCCCGGCATATGATATCGCCTTGCTCGAGTGGAACATACCGGGGGGCCGTTCTTTGGAAGTCCATACTCCCTCTGCCAGTCTTTCAGATATTGTATGGGTGCGCTCAATGCGCGTTTCTTCGCCTTGAAGTAGTTGAAGAACACCGTGCTCCGTCGATGTGGAGGTTCCTGCACGAGCTCGCCGGTGCTGGCATCCTTGCGGACCACGCGCGGATAAAAGCTGTCACTTGAGTTATGGTTTGGGGGCTGGACCGTTGCTGTGCGGTCCGCGTTGAGCCACGGAAACTTGGAGAGGCGTTCTATAAGGTTGCGAATGAACCCGAACCCTTTCTTCCCGTCGCCGTCGTCGGCGGGGAGGTATACCTCATTGATCCAGTACATCGCCTTCGTCGTTCCGTGCACGAAGAAGAGGTCTTCCGGTCTAAGCACCGCGCCGTTCCCAACATCCAGCCAATGGTCGAGATTGTCCGCGATATATCGTACAATGCCGCTCTTGAAAGCACCGGAAAATCGGGAGACTACTACATCCGGATCCAGATAAATGCGAGTAGGTCGTTTCGAGTCGATGCGCGAAGGACCTGGGAGAGGAGCCTCAATCATCTTGTTGAGTCTAAGGACGCGTGAATACTGGGTGCACATCGCCAGCAAAGGGCTCAGTGGCCAGCTCACCTGGGCGTCCGACTTAGTCGAAACCGCTCAGCTTCGGTGGGCGGAGATTCCTTGGCTTCTTCCGGGGTCGCTGTGCTTGATTGGGGTTTCTTGGTCTTTTCGGGGACCTCTGCGAGAGATACAGGTTGCGACACAATGGGTGGTGGTGGTTGAAGGAGATTGAGAACAGCAGGCGCTCCGTTTATCCCCTCTAGACGTCCCCTCTGAGGACGTCCTGCGACAGTGTTCAGCAAAAGCCGCGGCATCATCTCCCCGCTCCTGAGATATATAACGGAGCCCAGCTCAACTTCGTGGCGCTCCGAACCAGAGGGGGCTATTTCTGGGTGTCCATGCCAGACAGGATAGCCATGGCCGGCACGGAACAAGTCATGCACGTACTGCTCTTTCAGAACGACGTCTGGACCTTTGAAGGCATGACGGTGGAGTCGATCGGGAATAACGGTCTGATCAGGGTAGCAGAGGAGAACGGAGCGGATGAGGAGCGACTCACCGCGAGGAGCCATTATATAGTACATACGGCCTGTCCTATTCTGGATAGATCGAAGGGTCGCGCCTCGCCGTGATGTGCAGACTGCATGTGGCCGTGTGCCGTCGCCGCAGACCGTCACCTTCCATAACAATCCGTATGGGTGGTTTCGAATTGGAAACAATGCTACGTATTGAGATCTGTGGCGTGGTACGGCGGTGTTATATATCAATAGCTATAACGCACCCAGGCCATTGTAACATTATAAGGAGAAGGTGCATGAAAGGGAGTGGATCTCCGCCGTGTTCGACAACAGTCAAATCCGGAAAGACAAATTGAACGGCGTGTTGTTGGCATGCCAGTCGGAACAGAGGGACGTGAAAGATTGATCCAGTGCGGGGAGCTCTGTCCGGTGAATGTCCAGACCGCAAGTTCGTGCTTAAATAGAAGTTGTGAGCCGCATGTAATACGCAGTGGGCAAGAGAAGAAGAGCAAAAGCTGGGACAGCCGCCGCGGAGATCGCGCTGAACGCGTGCGTTTCCATCACGTGATCGTATTGTGCCGGCGCGACCTCCGGTTTTGTCCTCTTCCGCTTCTTGCCTTACTACCATCTCCTCTGCACTATGTTGTTTCTGAGTCAAGAGACATCAATACTTCACGCGGCAATTGATCCCACCAACATTTTTCCGCTCGTTCCACCTATACAACTGCCCAATAATGCGCGAGTCTTCCTGTCGTCGCCCCGGAAGGCCACGTGTTAATCTGGTTTCCTGAGATATGTATTCAATTGGTCTTCAACAGTACGCTCATCTCAGTTCCCATCCACAGAAGCTGAGGAGCTATCCAGAGAGCCATCACGGAGCGATGATTAGCATTTTGTAGCGACGACGGCCAGGCGCCAGCGAGGCTCCGCGGGTCGCTTTCTCCACGCTGCCGGTCCCAAATTCACTTGACGAGGCCAAATAGTGCAGCCTAAATAAAACGCTACAAAATTGCGTAGAATGAAAGGGAAACCCAGGCAAGTCTAGAGACCTTTTCATTCGCAACGCCACCTTGATTGCTACCGCGTATTATCCGTATTCTCCACCCGTACGCGTTAAGTGCTCCCCGTGCATGTTATGAAGCCCTACGCTAACGTATTTCCATATCCCTTCCTCTTCTTATTTTTTCAAGGCAGTAGCATTTCTTCATGGCCCTGCGAGGCTCGAGCATTTTCCTCCAATCCGGGTTTATCTCAAGTTGCGCAGATTCCCCTTCCACTCTCGGCTACACCGCTGACTCGGAAAGATCTGGAAAACACGAAACGTCTACCCGTGATGTTGTTCCTTGTGGGAGGCGAATTTATGGCGACTTTTACTGGTGGTGCGTGCTCTCATAGCGGCAACGGGCGAGCGAGCGACTCGTCTTGGGGGCATATCGCTTTCTAGACCCAACTAAGAAGTATCTCCATCGGTGGCAGACATGGCCAACGCATACGGATGCTGCTTGCGAGTGTAAAACTCGCTCTCGCGTTGTACTCACTCTCGCAATATCCGCTGCCGCCGAATACTTCGCACTGATCGATCGATAGCGACTGCGACATTATTACTAGGCTACTCAAGATAGTCGTATTGTTCAATTTCTGCGGCGCCGCTACGGACCAATACTCGATCGTGCTTCAATCTCCGGGTCTCTTGCTAGGGGAACCTCGCGTGTGCGGGACCATGCGAAGGCCGATCTCGACCTGGCGTCCACTACCATCAGCAAGTGGGCGCTCTCCAATTTTTCCGGTGAGTCTCATGATGTTTTCTACTACTGGGCCCTGCGCTGATCTGCGAGTGGCGGATACCAGGGCATCCAGTGGGTATCAATCGATGCCGCTATGCGGCGTTGTAGCATACCGGACGCAGGTAGGCTATCAGCTCATACACGATAGACTTTTACTAGCCGCGGCGAGTTCACATCTCCCTCCGTTCTGTTTATGTTAAGTGTATGGCCGTCCGCAGATTCAGACACTGGAATTTTTGTGCGGCGTCATTAGACAGCTGCCGGGAGTCCTGGTGAACAAGTTCACGCGACGACTCGCTGGCCAACGCCACCCGATTCAAACTGCGCCACCCTCCGTCTTGTCGACACTGCGACACAACGAGACGCGTCTGTACCTGGCTTCGTGTCCTTCGTGTCTGGGCGACACGGCCCAAGCACCTCGCACCACCGCACCCGACTGCGCCACGCGATCTGTCATGCCGCACCGACTCCACTCGCCCCTGTCACAACGCAGTATCGCATCCGCTATCCCTCTGGGTCCTGGTGCTTTGGCCTGTCCTGGCGCCGACTGCGCTGCCCGCCTGTCTGCATTGACTACCGCATTGATTATGTCTGCTCTGCAGGCATTTAACGGCTCGCAGGCCGTATAGTAGCGTCGCTCCAACGACATCTTCTTTTTGCACCCTGGCTACACTCCCGCCAGCTCCGCAACACGGTCTTCTCAGATCCTCTCACTTTCCAGTCATCTACCGCCAAAATCGCCAAACGGAATGGACATCAACAGACTGATCCACCCTTCTCCGCTGCATTGCGTCCCCATGCGTGTACCGGGCGGCCCTGGCGAATACTATAAACTGGAACAGAACGGCCTGGCCCGGATGTGGCAAGGGCCATTCGAATTCCATATATGCGAGCCTCATAACAGGACTGGCGCGCTGCCACGGCTAACGCCTAGCATATACGACGCGCTATACGGCCGAAGGATCGACTTCATAGAGAAGGAGGTCGAAGACCCTATCCAACGCAACAGCAAGTGGAAGCGGATTGAGCTAGTTATCCAGGTATGTTGTCCCCGATATGTTGTGGGATTAGGCAACGGTATAACTGAACAATCTGGGTGCGGGGCCTACTAGTGGCCCGGGTACCCTTCCAGAAGACAATGGATCGGATTAACCAAGCGGTCTAATTTCAAAGAGGCATGGCTATCACGCGCAGAGCTGTACGTCCGTATCTGTGAAGCGTACCGCGCATTCTTCGAGGTGAGTGCGCCCAAGGGTATGTTTTCGTAGCGAGGACGCAATCTGACGCGCCTTGTGGAACATCCAGGACATGAGAACTAGTGGTGTGGAGTCGACAGAACCGGACTGGACCGTGTGGTTGTCGCGCACGGACCTGAAGCGGCTTTACGTGGTCGCGCTGTGGTTCTGCGGCGAGCATATCTTCTACGCTGATGTCGACTACGACGTGATGGTTCCCGCGCCCGCGTGATTGGTGCTCAAGTTGAGGAACCAGTACGACTTTAGTAGTGAATGAAGTTATCCGTAACCTTTGTAATAGTATCTTCCTTCGACGATCCATTCTCAAACACCTTCAGGTAGCAAACCTCTCAGATAGCACATGCAACGCCCGCCGTCTGGAAATGTTATCGACTTCGCCTGCCTGATAGTGTACCTGAACGTCCAAGCTCTGTGTGGGCCCGAGACCACTGGCTCGTAATTGATCCCAACATGTTCCAGATTTTTCCTGATGGACCGTGCGTGTGCAACGCGGCCTATTCACACACTGAATGCACCCCGCACCAACCCTTCCTGAGGCATGTCGAGTAGCAGTTGCAGCGTATCGCGACAATGTGCTATCCATGCAAGTGCCACTCTCTGCTAGCTACTGGCTGGGTCGACCCCGTTGGTGAGCGCGACGACACAAAGATGGTGGCAGGGCGCGAGTCCCAGGCGGTCGTGCGTCGCGAAGGGAAAGACAGCGCTCACAAAATTCAGCGACGTCAAGCCGAGATATTTCAATATACAAGCTTCTGATAGTACAATATGTATTCAGCCTTATTTACGCCGTCTGAGGTCTACGCCTCCTCAAGCAGCCACCGGATCCCCTGCAGGAGGTCCTCGTGTACCTTCACTCCCGCAGCCGGGTTGATCCCAGGGTCCGGATACCTGTACGCGCACCCGCCGTCAGCACGTCTCTCCCATAGTGACTTAATGGAGGTAAGAAAGAATGGTTACGCACTCGATGTGGCGAACCGCGACGCCCGCAGCGCGCAGAGCGCGTGCGTACTCCCGGGCATCATCGCGCGGCGGGTCGCTGGGCTCCATGCCTTGCACGAATGCACGAGGCACACCAGAGTACGAGGGGTACAGCACGTCCGCGTTCTCTCTCATTGATTGCAAGAATGGCTTCAGTCTGTACATATTGATTAACCGGCGTCGACGAGAGTAATGGTGGAGAAGTTGACGCTTACTCGTCGGGATGCACGTCCGAATGAATGACGAGGGGCTCGCGAATGATCTGCCCGGTGAGCTGCCGCCCAGGCCCAGTAAAGAAAGGGTCGTCCCGAGCAGCGTGCGCAACAACCGCTGCGAGGTTTGCCCCAGCTGAGTGTCCGCCCACGAGGAAGCCCTTGGTGAGATCCGCTTTAAGGAGGGGCGTGTTCTGGACTACCTGTGAATAAGAAATGAAGATAGTAAGGATAACGAAGGGACCTAAGATAGTAGGACAGGTTTACCCATTTGAGCGCGGCCATGCAATCGTTCAAGGCGGTCGGAAATTGGTACTCCGGGGCGAGACTGCGACGATGGTATGGATGGCTGTTGTGGCTCTGCAGGAATGGATCAGGCTCACCGGTATTTGACATTCACAGTGGACAGTTTGAGATCGACGCTCAGCTTGCGCAGGAAGAAGTCGTCGAGATCGATGTTGCCAGCACCTCGTCCTGATGCACCGAGGCGGATACTGTGAGCACTCCATGCGCGGCCGAAGCACTACAGTACCGTGCACTTACCTCCTCCGTGTACATGTAAGAGCACAGGGAACGTCTCGCTCTCATTATCCACGACGGGGATGACGGATCGGACGATGATCTCCCCGCCGTCTACCACTACCGTCTCGTCCCGAAACCTATATGTGGATGCTGCGAGGTTGAGTGAGCCAAAATATTCGCCATGTCCTGCTGCGTATGAGTCACTCACCTGGAGGGAGGAGCAGATCTTGATACTCTTCGAAGGGCGACTTCACGGACTGGTCGGACTGGGCAGTGCTGGTTGCCTCCATGAGTTGCTTGTCGTTCTGTAGAGCTTGTCCCAGCGGCCTATTCAGTCTATGGGTGCTTAAAGACGTGGGTCTTCGGGCGCAGAGCTAGAGACCGTCACCGTCTATCCAGTGAATATAAGGTGGGGAGGCGGAGCTCGGCAGCGGGTATGACTCGGAGAGATCTACTCGGAGAAGCACCCGACGTGGGAAGCTGATCACCGCGACATAGGGAGTCGAGAACACGGGCGCATGACTCACTTTTTCCGTATATGCCCAGTCCAATGATTCCGACCAACTTACATACCCGCGCCCCGCATATGCGACGTTGAGACCGGAGTTGTGGACATCCGGAAAGTATATATACGTTAAAAAGGAGCTATGAAGAATTAAAATGGCGTCAGCAACATGCGATACGTCGGTCATGCACGGTGCCATCTACAACTTCATGTTCTCTGAACATGTTTGCAGGCGGCGACATACCCGGATAGGCGCCAGATAGAGCGAAGCACTGCCATCTCCATCAGCAGATTCAAGTCGTGTGAGCCCTTCTGATATCCCAGGGCGGTAAGTCAGCGCTTTACATCCTAGGCGCGACGCCTGATAGGAACTCACTGACGGAAGGGATCCTTGGAACGGCCCTGCTGTTGCACGGGAACCTCCACACTCTTCCGATGTCGCGAGGAGAGTTCTATCGGCCGCGCTCCATACGATGGCAATTCTATCAGATGCGGCGGATGCGATATGCTTTCCATAGGGCGAGAAACATTCGGCGGCAAGCAGCTCTCCTCATCTGGCGCAAGGCACGGTGCGGGCATTTTCAAGATCTTACCGCTTGGAGCAAACGCGAAGTTCTCAGAGACCATTTGCGGCACTTGAACGCCCTCAAAGAGCAACGCGCACGTCGCAGGAAGGCAAGACAAGCATGCTGGGGGGTGTCGCCAAGGAGTGCAAATCACAGAGGGTCGTGCGCCGCGAGCAGGCAACGAGCTATTGCAGCATCGAGCGACGTGAGGCAGATCCCTTAGAGTCCAGCAACTTTTGAGTGGGGAGTGCAATAGTACAATATATGTTACCTTCATCACGCCGTTCAAGGCCTACGCCTCCTTCTCAAGCAACCAGCGAATTCCCTGCACGAGATCCGCGCGCACCTTCACCGCCGCGCTAATCGCAGGGTAGCCGTAGTGGAACCCGTGCGTTACGCCCGGATACCTGCGCGCCCACTCACCGTGAGTCATTCTCTCACAGTGATGTGACGAAGGATAAGAGGATGAATACGCACTCGATATGGCGGACCGTGACGCCCGCGGCGCGCAGAGCTCGCGCGTACTCCCGGGCGTCATCGCGCAGAGGGTCGAGCTCCATGCCCTGCACGAAGGCGCGTGGCAAATTGGCGTGGGAGGGATACAGCAGCGGGGAAAAGCGCGGGTCCGCTGGGGGCGGGTTGTACCAGCCTGCAGAAGGAAGTGTTAGTCGATTGCGTACAATGTAGGACATTGCAGAAGGTTGTGAAACGCACTGATATTGCGGTCAATGGAGGCGCGCGGGATCGGAGGCAAGTCCGCATTCTCATTCATGGATAGTAAGAATGGCTTCAGCCTGAACATACTGGTCAACATCTGTCGACGAGAGAATTGGGAGGGAAACCGGTGTGAGAATGGTTCTTACTCGTCGGGGTACACCTCAGGATGAATGACGAGGGGTTCGCGGATGACTTGCCCGGTGATCTGTTGCCCGGGCCCAGAGAAGAACGGATCGTCCCTGGCCTCGTGCACAACCACCGCGGCGAGGCTCGCGCCGGCCGAGTGTCCGCCAACAAGGAAGCCCTTGTTGAGATCGGCTTTGAGAAGGGGTTCGTTTGGAACGACCTGCAGATGCGAGGTAAGAATAAGGACGATGAACATTAAGACAGTAAACCGGACGTACCCATTTAAGCGCCGCGAGGCAGTCGTTGATCGCAGTCGGGAATTTGTGTTCCGGGGCCAGACTGCGACAGGGGGATGCATATTTGTTATATAACGCTTGGAGCATACAGTACTGTGTCAAGCTCACCGATACTCGACGTTCACAGTGGCAAGTTTGAGATCGACACTCAGCTTGCGCAGGAAGTAGTCGTCGAGCTCTATGCTACCGACGCATCTTCCTGATGAACCAAGGCGTGTACAGTAAGCATCCTATCCAGCAAAGAACAACAGAGCTCTGTGCTCACCTCCTCCGTGTATGTGTACGAGCACAGGGAAGGTCTCGCCCTCGTCCTCCACGACGGGGACGACGGTTCGGACGATAATCTCCCCGCCCTCCACCGCTACCGTCTCGTCCCGCAAAGAGTACACATATGCTGTCGAGAAACATCAGGAGCATATTCTAGCATTGCCTCCAGCGTAAAAGAGACTCACACGGGGGAAGGAGCGGCTCCTGGTATGCTTTGAACGGCGCGGTCACGCACTGGTCAAACTGGGCGCGCAATTCGGCGATAGTCGGTAGATGCGGCGCTCCTGCAATTCCAGCAGCCGGCACCGGAGGCATAAGAGCAGCGAGTTCGGGGTCGAAGGCTGGCATCGTGAATAGAAGTGTGTGTTGCCTCCACGGGTGGCGAGTCCGTATTTATCTATCATGCGTTATGCTCAGCTCGGTAGCGGGTATGACTCGGAGAGATCTGCGAGTAGTTGACGTGGGAAGCTGATCCCCAGGTCGAGAACATGGATATGATTAAGGGCATGGCTCGCTTTGTCCATACACGTCCAATGCATACAACACACGATGTATTGCAGACCAAACTGTGTCACTATTCTGCGTCAGTTCGATGGCATGTGCGAATATGTAGCAAAGTTCGACTCACGGAATCATACTCGCGGTGCTGCGACGTTTGTCAGGATGTTCAGAAGCTGACATCGGACTTGCGTAACACTTATGGCTTTGACCCGCGTTGATCGCGTCTCCCTGGCAGTTGATATCTCGACTGGCCCAGAATAGCTGGGCTGATGAGTCGACGACATGTACAAAGATCTGAAGGCGTACGTACCTGACGCGCCGGCGCAGTACATGGGGCCAAAGATAGCCAAATAATGTCCGAACCGGCGACTCGATACCCCCGTCCCGCACATGCGAGGACGAGTCAGCCAGGGCGTGTGGACATCCCAAAGTTCTATATTCGTTCATGATAAGCTACAAACAAGTCAAATGGAGTCAGCAGCACGAGCAACGGAATGGCATCACGGCGCCGTCTACAACTTCTCTCAATTACCGGACGGTGGCAAAACGGAGCGAACCGCTCCCATACCCTTCGCCGACAAATAAGGGGTGTGAACCCTGCTGATATCAAAAAAAGCCTCGGGTCAGCGACACTCGTACTATACACGGGGTTGTATAGGAACTCACAAGCTAGAAACTAGCTGTCATGGTTCTGCACGCATGACGTCCACACCAGAGGCGGTGTGCGCTCCTGTTCTGTCAATGTCGCGCGTAGCATCCCATCGGCCGCGCTCCACACGCGCGTGGTTCTGTCGGATACGGAAGACGCCATGTGCTTTCCATCGGGCGAGAAACACCTGGCGGTGATTACGCCTTCGTGCCCGCTACACACGTAGAACTCGGGCGTTCCACCGCGCGACTGGCAGAACAGCATCGGAGAATCGCGGAGGGTGGTAAGAGTTGTTGAACTTCTGTGTCTACGGCTGTGCCGGACCGGGAGTGGCAGTGATAGTGGCTGTGCGTCTACCATACGCCAGCATGGACTTTCCTACTTACCATATACGTACATTCTTTTGTTCTGTACTTACTTGGCATCCTGCCATCCCTCCACATGATTCTGGTACGTTCTACGATGTTCCGGACTATTCTAGACAGCGTCCGGATTACTCGCATTACTCAGCCATGGACTATCTGACCTTATGTCGATTATGCTCCCTTACTCAGCGTTACTCATCGCTCAGTCAGCGTCCTCTGGACGTCACATGCTCTCTTCTTATACGCTTACTCATCG